TTGAAAACAGCCGGATGCTATAGTTTCACTTTAACTTGTGTGGCTGATATTTATAAACGCAGTTGATGTTTGCTTCACTTAGGTCTAGCAGGTGTTTGTAGATTCCTTAGTACTTTGTAGGTAAACAATGTTGTACGTGAATAAAGTAAGTTTTGCATCTTTCTTTTTTTTTTTTTTTGAGACGGAGTTTCGCTCTCCTTACCCAGGCTGGAGTGCAATGGCGCGATCTCAGCTCACTGCAACCTCTGCCTCCTGGGTTCAGGCAATTCTCCTGCCTCAGCCTCCCGAGTAGCTGGGATTACAGGCGCGCGCCACAATGCCCAGCTAATTTTTTTTTTTTTTTTTGTATCTTTAGTAGAGACGGGGTTTCACCATGTTGACCAGGATAGTCTCGATCTCTTGACCTCGTGATCCACCCGCCTCGGCCTCCCAAAGTGCTGGGATTACAGGCTTGAGCCACCGCACCCGGCCATGTTTCCAATCTTGATGTCTTCCTTTTCTTCTTTCTTCCCTTCTTCATTACACTTGTTAAGACTCCCATCATGATATTAAATCAAAGTGGCTCCAATCTAAAGTAGAACACATTCAGTACAGCAGCACTAAGCATGATATTTGTTGTTTTTTTCTACAGAAAGCTTTAGAAGGTTGAGGAAGTTTCCTTTATTCCTAAATTGCTCAGCATTTTTAATCAAAACGTATATTGATTACCCATACAATATATTCCCTTCTTCTGTATATGTGGTAAATTAATTGATTTTCAAATGTTGAACTCACCTTATATGAACCTTATGAGGTCATGACATAAATCACTTTTATATATTTGTAGATTTGATTGGCTAGTATTTTGTTCAGGATATTTGCATGTATTTTTGTAAGAGATATTTTTCTGTAGTTATTTTTTAATGCCTTTGTCAGGTTGGTATCAAGGTGATATTGATATATTCTGAATATCAATTCTTCGTCAGTTACGGGCATGGCAAGTATTTTCTCCTACTGTGTGGCTTGACTTTTTATTCTTGTCATGGTGCCTTTTGTTGAGCAGAGATTCTTACTTTTATTGTGCTTGAGTAATTAATAATGTTTTCTTTTTGGTTTAAGTGCTTTGTTTGCGTCTGCTTGAGGCTTATGATCTTTAGTTGCATATTTCAGGAAGTCAGAAAAGGTCCAGTTCGCACTACTCAGGGTGTGTTAGAAGGCAGCTGGTGGCCGGGCATGGTGGCTCATGCCTGTAGTCTCAGTACTTTGGGAGGGTGAGGCAGGCAGATTACTCGAGGTTAGGAGTTCAAGACCAGCCTGGCCAACATGGTGAAACCTCATCTCTATTAAAAATATAAAAACAAGCTGGGCATGATGGCTCATGCCTATAATCCCAGTTACTCAGGAGGGTGAGACAGGAGGATCACATGAACCTGGGAGACGAAGGTTGCAGTGAGCCAAGATAGGGCCACTGCACTTCACTCTGGGCAGGGGCACCAGAATGAAATTCTGTCTCCAAAAAAAAAAAAGAAAGAAAGAAAGAAGCCAGCTGGCACACCCTCGAGTTTTGGGTTATTCTTGAAAGCAGCTTTGATAAACACTAACGGCTGTTTGGGTTTTTAGATCAGTATTCAATTTACTGAAATAAATCTAAAAATCTAGTAATCCTTAAGTTCTTAGCTTTAATTAAAATCCTAATATTCTATTTATAAAGCTAAGGAGATTTTTACAATTTGGTTGAGCAAATTCTCCTAAATAGTTTAGGTTACGTGTATATTAACATAATCGAAATTCCTTTTGTGTGTATGTGCGTATATAAATATCTAAACATTGTCAATTTTCTCCTTAAATGCTTCATATGTCTCTAACAAGCAAAGGCTTCCCATGAACACAGATGAATTTTATAAATCTAATAAAACAGATAATTTTGAATGTTAAGTTTTCTTAAACAATGTTTGTTGATAAAATTGTTTTTAAAGTAGAATGCCTTTCAACTTTATAATCATAAGATTAGTCTCTTATGGAAGTACATCATTAAAATTGGAATTTTAACTAATCCGTCACATATGCCAAGTTCTTATACACAAGTTAAATACTCACTATGTACAAATTAATCCTAAAACTAATGCCAAAAATATTGATGCCATTGGTTTTATTTTGTTTTATTTTCTCCATTAATAATTAGAAGCATTTCTAGGTTTTTAACTAAGGCAGTAGTTTTTAGCAGACAGTAGTTTTCAACTATTAATACAAAGGCAGCAGGCCAAGGCAGTAGTTTTTAACAGGATGGTACTGCCCCCTAGGGAGCATTTTGGAAATTTGATGGTGTGCTTTTAGTAGTCAGCAATTGGCGGGGGAGGCTGGTATTTAGTTCTTGGGACAGGGGCCTGACATCCTGAAATAGGTAAGACAATCCTGCATAACTAAAAGTGACCCTGTTAAATGTCAGAGGTCTCTTTGTACAAGAAAAATGCTCATAATTATTTCGGCCTAGAACTTAACCATGTTTTAGGTATTGTTGGCATAGTTTTAATACAGATTGAATTTTTAGGAATGTTGTTATCTTGCAGATAAGGGAGAAATCATAATTTGTTCCAAACTTTACCAAGAGTTATTCACCATTTCAGAAAATCATATCACTGGTAGCAATGCTGGATTTGCAGCTGTCCCATTCATGGTGATCAGATGTAGATATATGTATATAAATATATGGATGTTTCTTAAGTCCTTGTTTTAAAACATCAAATATAAAAAAAAATAAGCATTGGTTGGGCGCAATGGCTCACACTTGTAATCCCAGTACTTTGGGAGGCTGATACAGGTGGATCACGAGGTCAGGGGCTCGAAACCAGCCTGACCAACATGGTGAAATTCTGTCTCTACTAAAAACACAAAAGTTAGTTGGGCATGGTGGCGCGCACCTGTAATCCCAGCTACTCGGGAGGCTGAGGCAGAAGAATCGCTCGAACCCAGGAGGCGGAAGTTTCAGTGAGCCAAGATGGCGCCGCTGCACTCCAGCCTGACAGAGCAAGACTCCATTTCAAGAAAAAAAAGAAAGGCATTAAGTATTTACCGTTGAATATTGTATCATCTTAAATTGAAACTTATATGGGTGCAAACAACTCATTCTTTCATTGTACCTTCTGATGTAATAGTGCTTGACCATGTACATATTGAAATATACACTATTTTATTACAAATAATTTTATTTCTCTTCTGTTTGGGCAATGCCTTGTGTGCAACTATAATAGATGATGTTATCTATGAATTCCATTTCAGGATAGTAGAAAGCATTACGAAGTATTTTTAATCTTCACAAAAAATGTGTAGCCCTGGATTAACAATTCTGATACTGCTGTGCACAGCCGGATTTTAAATCAAATAAAAAGTTGATAAGATTGAAACAGTGTTCTATTGTTGCCAAAAGAGATAGCTTTTGGAACAGAACAGAAAATATCCAAACAGATATACTGGTATATATACCAGCCAGTGAGTTTTGAATATAAGGAGGGGATATCAATTCAACGATTTGATTTAATAACAGTCGTGGAACAATTGGCTAAGACATTTATAAATACGTAAAGCACTATATGTACCAATCTAAATTCCAGATGGATTAAAGTAAATCTTAAATAGCAAACCCCCAGAAGAACCTAAAGAAAATACAAGTGACAGTGTACTGAATAGCTAGCAGAAACGGCCTTTTCTAAAGGCAAAAATAATAAAGTTATTGGCAAGTTTGCATAACTATTAAACACTTTTCTACGAAAAAAAAAAAAAACACCAAAAAAGCAGGGATGAACTAGAAATAAAAATCTGCAACATCTATAAGAATGAAGATAATTAATATATCATTAATTCCTATATATCAATCAGAAAAAAAATACTTCAGTAGAACAGAGGTCCAAGAATCTGAGAAGATAACTCACAAAATAACGAGTACATGAGGCTAATAAACTTAAAAATAGTTCAGTCTCACTAGTAGTAAAGGGAAATGTATATTAAAAGAAGTCACATATTAAATCAACAAAGATTTTTGCTGTTGTTTCTTTTCTTAACGACAAAGCTAATTGTTAGTGAGGAGCAGAAAAAATAGATCCTCCTACAAACTTCTGGGAAAATGTAAACGGATGCCAATATTTTTGGACGTCAACATAACAACATAGGTATTAGGTGCTATTAAAAAAATGCATAGTTTCTGACCCAGCAGTTCCACCTCTAGGAATATACAGAAAACACTTGTACCTCATAATGGTAGTGCTTCATGCTAAGATAACTCATCAGAGCAAAAATTAGAAAGACTTTAACCCCTTAAAAGGGGGCCTGATACATTGAATCCACGGGGATGGAATATTTAATGACAGTTCAGTATCATGTTAAAGTTCTGGGAAAGGCAAATGTGCGGGGATGGGATGGTTGCCAGGAGCGGGGACGGAGTGACTCGAAAAGACCCTGAGAGAATTTGGTGGAGGAGGGGCCGGGCACGTAAAAAAAATGGTCTGTATCAGAGCTGTCAAAGTCACCCAGACCCCTAGAAGTGTACACTAAAGTGGTGAATTTTAACTTGTGTAGATGACATACACCTTAATAAACTTGACTTTTTAAAAATCTTGCTGAGGAATGTTAAACAGCCTGGGTAAATCTAAATGGTTGATTAGCTAAGTGAGTAACCTGCAAAGCGGAGTGTGACGGGAGCTTGGCAGGTGGTGGAGGGGGTGTTTACATATTCAGGCTGGAAGGAAAGGTGCCAGAATGTATTACGTTAGTGTCTCTCTGAAGGTGAAATTAAACACCGCTTTTCTCCTTGTATCTTGTTCGTTATTGTTGTGTTGTTTTTGTTTTTTGGTTTGGGGATTTTTTTTTTTTTTTTTTTTGCAGCTTTGTTATTGGTGGGTTGGAGTCGGGGGCGGTGTGGCAGTAATTTGGGAGCACGGCCCACGGGCTACGGCTTCTGGGTTCCTTCCCGCGCTGTTCTCTTCGGTAGATCTGCCGAGCCGGGGCGGGCGAGCCGGGGAGCGGGGGCGGCGCCCGGGCGAGCGCGGTGTGGGGAGGGCGGGGCCTGCGTCTTGCGAGGCAAGGAGTGCGGGCGCATCCCTGTTGGATGGAGGGGAAAGAAACAACCCAAGAAGGCTGTCATTTCCTGGGCGGAGTTGGAACCCAGGCGGCCTCACCATGATGAGTGAGTCTTGCTTCCCCGGGGGGCGGGCGGGCTGGGAGCGGAGCAGGCCTTCCCGACCCCAGCCCAGGAAGGGACGGGAAATAGCTTCGCTCCCTGATTCCATTAACCAGCTGACTACTGACTCCCTCCTTCTCCTTCCCTTTTCTTCTCTCCGTCTTCCTTCTCCCCTCTCCCCTCTGCCTTCCCCTGGCACTCTCTCTGTAGAACAGGCAGCTGCTGCTGCAGTGGGTGGAGGTAAGTTACCTGGATCGATCGCTTCTGTCTCTGGGCCCTCACCTAGCATGGTCGGGGGTGCTGGGAGGCCGCAGAGATGACGCGCTGAGCTGGCTCTCACCCCCTCACCCTCCACTCCCGAAGCTGCCTGAGTGAACCACAGGGGAGAGAAGCAGCAAGATACTCCAGGGAAAAGCTCACTCCCATTCCAGCCCCAGCTTCTCCTCTAGTCCTTATATAGAATAAGCGTAGATGGAAGATTTCGTTTGAAAGAGCATTTGCATTGGGAGGCCGAGGCGGGTGGATCCTGGTCAACATGGTGAAACCCCATCTCTGCTAAAAATACAAAAAATTAGCTGGGCATGGTGGCGTGTGCCTGTAATCCCAGCTACTCAGGAGGCTGAGGCAGGAGAATTGCCTGAACCCAGGAGGCGGAGGTTGCGGTGAGCCGAGATCGCGCCCTTGCACTCCAGCCTGGGTAACAAGAGCAAAACTCAGTCTCAAAAAAAAAAAAAAAAGAAAAGAAAGAAAGAGGATTTGCAGCTCAAGTCCACATGGCTCTTTTCACATTTCTGTTCGGGGACACACACACACTTGAGACCCAGTGAATGGTATTGACTTTCCCTGCATCACACACCAAGTTAGAGACAAACCAGGGCTAGGCCTGGTCTTCCTATGACATCTTTGCCTCGCCTGGCTCCACACTCACCACCTCTTCTTCACCATGAGATCCCGAAGCTGCCATCTCCCTGTTGCTAAAGCTGACAGTCCCCAGAAACTGTCAAGGAATTACTAAGGGGAGAGTTCCCTTCTCCTGAGCCCATCTCTCCACCCAGCCCACCCAGCTTCTCTCTCCCCACAGCCCTGGCAGTGGGGGCTGTGCCCGTGGTGCTCAGTGCCATGGGCTTCACTGGGGCAGGAATCGCCGCATCCTCCATAGCAGCCAAGATGATGTCCGCAGCAGCCATCGCCAACGGGGGTGGGATTTCTGCAGGGAGCCTGGTGGCTACTCTGCAGTCGGTGGGTAAGTGTCCCGGACAGACCACCAGAGCTGGGAAAAGATACAGCCTGAGGCTCAGCCCGAGGGAGGCCTTCTCCTCACCCTGCAGTTCTGTGACCCTCAGCTTCCTGGATCTTCAGTCTCTCCCTCACTGTCCCCTCTTCTGGCTCCTTCTGAGTGAGGTTTGGGGTGGGAGTAGAGAGGTGATGGGGTGCTGGGTAGGGAGAAGAGGAAAGGAACCTAGGCCGAAAGTGATGCCTGGGCTCTTTCACCTGGGTGACCTGGGCAAGGTCCCCTGCCCTCTCTGGGCCTCAGTAGCCTCCTGTGTAAAGTGAGCACACTGTAGCTCTTGGGGTCTGTCTGTGGATGACTTTCTGCTTCTCAGTTTCCATGAATTCACCCCTGACTTGTCTTTTAGCTGCCTCTAGCAGACTCTACCCAAAGCAAGGCGTGGGGTTTTCAGGACGTGAAGGGGGGATCTGGGCAGGATTTCTGGGTCACTGCCCATCCCCTGTGCTCATTCATTCTGTCTCCTCCCCAGGGGCAGCCGGACTCTCCACATCATCCAATGTCCTCCTGGCCTCTGTTGGGTCAGTGATGGGGGCCTGCTTGGGGGGAAGCAGACCCGCAACTGAACCCAAGGCTCAACCCAAGGCTGAAGGAGATGAGGCAAGAGAAAATGTACCCCAAGGTGAACCTCCAAAACCCCCATTCAAGTCAGAGAAACATGAGGAATAAAGGTCACATGCAGATGCACCTCACTGTGTTTGCTTCTTGCAGCTCTGTCTGGAGTTCTGAGCTGGAGGTTGCCAGTTCTCTGCACCTCCCAGCCTGCCTTGCCATGGAGGGGTAGAGGGAGGGCTTAACCTTGCACTGCATTGGTAAGCAGAAGGCTTTGGTTGGTCTCAGCCTTACAAGGATGGGCTGTATTACCCAGGGCCATTCATGGGCCTTCTGTGGGCCTCAATTTCCCCCTTATTCAATGTTGGCACTGTCACAGGTTCCTGCTGGGAGTGGGTGAGGGGTAGCCAGGGCACTTCAGGAGCCACTGACCACAGAGCCCTCTGTTCTTCAATAATGACACTAGACAACCAGAATGAGCAAGACACAGCCTTCCCTTGCCCAACCTCAAAGTCTTGTCAGAGGCTGACAAGCAAGCCAGCAGAAAAAGATAGTGCCAAGTGTTACATTCGGGCTCTGAGCACTTTGAGGGGAGGAGGCTGAGTCAGGAATGGTCACCAAACTGTGTCTGGAAGATCGAAGGAGAGGCTGAGTTCATGCATGAAGACCTGGAGCCCTGACCACACCCTCGCTGTGTTAGTCGGTTTTGAATTGCAATAAAGGAATACCTGAAACTGGGTAATTTATAAAGAAAAGAGGCCAGGCACAGTGGCTCACACCTGTAATCCCAACACTTTGGGAGGCTGAGGCGGGCAGATCACGAAGTCAGGAATTGGAGACCAGATGGGCCAACATAGTGAAACCCCATCTCTACTAAAAATACAAAACAATTAGGCAGGCATGGTGGCGGGCACCTGTAATCCTAGCTACTCATAGGACTGAGGCAGGAGAATCACTTGAACCCAGGAGGTGAAGGTTGCAGTGAGTCAAGATGGTGCCAGTGCACTCCAGCTGGGGTGACCGTGTGAGACTCCACCTAAAAAAAAAAAGAAAGAAAGAAAAGCAGCCTATTTGGCCCACAGTTCTGCAGACTGTACATGAAGCATGGTGCCGGCATTTACTTCTGGTGAGAGCCTTGGGAAGCTTACAATTGCAGAAGGGGAAGGAGGAGCAGGCATGTCACGTGGCGAGAGGAAGCAAGAGAGATGCCAGGCTATTCTAAGCAGCTAGGTCTCTTGTGAACAAATAGAATGAAAACTTGCTCCTAACTGTGGGGAGGGCACCAAGTCATTCACAAGGAATCCACCTCTATGACCCAAACACTAGGCCCCACTTCCAACACTGCAATCACATTTTAACATGAGTCTTGGAGGAGACAAACATCCAAACTCTATCAGTCACCTAAAGACTCCAGTCTTCATTCATGTGATGGGTGTTAGAGTGGATGGGAGGGGTCCACACGGAGCCCCAGGAGACTACACTGTCAGGAGAAACTGGGCACTTACCTGAACAAAAGTGACGCAGACCGTTATGTTCAGTGCAGTGACAGACTCCAGCTAGTATGGGAGGAGTCAGAAAAGGTAGGGATCTGCTCTCATATCTGGGCAGACTTCCTGGAAGAGGAGGCAAAAGGTCTGGGCCTTGAAAGGTGAATGGAAGTCTGACAGAGGAGGAGGGAGGCAAAGGGAAAGGTGTCCCAGGAGGAAGTAAGTCCCAGCTGCTCAGTGAGAGAACTGGAGAGGGATATTAATTGGGCCCTTCCATGGCAGCGTGGATGGAAGGCAGTAGCTCCAACAAGCCATCAAGAGAAAGGGGACCTCTGATGGAGACTGTCGGAGGCAGGAGGGAACTCCTAAGCATGGAGGTTTTACGGGGAGGCACGTCTGGTCTAGATGACCCCCAGCTGTCCTTCTGCTCCCATGCATTTTAGGTTCCCTGTGCCAAGGCACGTGCATCATCTGCTGCTCCTGAAACTCCCCTTTGCCCAGGCTGGAGTGTAGTGGCACAATTATGGCTCACTGCAGCCTCAACCTCCTGGCTCAAGTGATTCTCCCACGTCTGCCTTCTGAGTAACTGGGACAACAGGTGTGGACCACCATGCCTGGCTAAATGTTTGTGGGGTTTTTTTTGTTTGTTTGTTTTGTAGTGATGGGAGTTTCATCATGTTTGAGACCAGCCTGGGCTCAAGGGATCCCTCTGATCTCCCAAAGTGCAGAGATTGCAGGCATGAGCTACCTTGCCCGGCTGATAATCTCCTTTTTGCCATTCACGTACCAAAATCACAGGAGTGATAGCTCAACATGTTCAGAAGCTTCACCAGCTCGCAGAGAGGAGGGGATTATGCCAGGGAGGTCATTGGGCACCATTCTTAGAATTCGGCCTGCCACAAAGGCCAAGCTGAGGGGTCAGAGGTAAAGAATCAGGTGAGAGCCACGCAACCGAGGTGGGGGTGAGGAGCTGGCTGCCAGAATGGAAACAGGCCCTCTGGGAACTGGAAGGCCTCACCTTCATGAGGGGGGACAAGAGAGGAGGTCACCACCCACACCTAGAATAATAAATGCTCCGAGGTGACCTGCCTTGCAGGACTGTTTACTGGGCTTCAGCTGGGATGCAGGATCATCCATCCTCCCAAACCCAGGTCAGACCTGCTTTCCTTTCGGAAGGGCTCGGATTTCTAGTTAATGCAGGGGGTTTTACCTTTCACTTCAGTGAGGGTCTTCAAATGTTCTAATGAATGCCCTAACATCGAGGGAATTATTTGGGGAATGTGTACATTTTGTGGGGAGAAGTTTCACAGCTTTTTTCAGATTCCCCAAGGCATCAAAGAAAGGGGAAGGTAGGGGAAAAGAATCACATACTGAAAGAACACCCTGAGAAGGTTAATTCCTACGGCTGGATAGAAACCATGCTTCATGGACCGAGTTAAGAGACGTGGATGAGTGATGAATGTTTTTGAAATGTCTGTAGCACTAGACTCACAGTTTTGCTTCTCTTTGGAAACCTAGGGTGGGGTGCACAGGGTTGCAGCATCTATAATCACTGCACAGTTGAAAACCCTTTAGTGCCTCTCCAAAGTCCTCAGGATGAAATCCACACTCCCCTTCCTTGACATGCCTCTGGCCCCCAGAGGCATGGGCTGGCCCCTGGCATAGCACTTATTGGAGGTCAGTGCCCATGGTCATCTGCCTGTGCATCCCTTCAGCTCATCGTGAGGGCTGCCTAGGCAAAGACCGAGCTGTGCCCTTTCTCTTCCTTGGGGTCCAGCCTCGTGCATGGACCACAGCACGTGTTCATAGACGGTGGGGAAAGGAGCAGCAAAACAACGTATGAACGAATTCCTTTTACTCTGGGGCAGAACACATTGCAGCAATGAGAAGTGTCTACGAGGCTTTGTTCTGGTTCGGGAAGGACATTTCAGGACCAGGAACCTAAGGAAGAAAGGTCAGTGCCCTGACAAATTAAAGTTTCCTATTGGCTATTGGGGGAAAAGGGCCAGGGTCAGGGCAGTGGAGTCTGGGTCGACTCAGGACATTGATGTTGAGACGGGTCAGTGACATATCTGAGCCTAAGCCAACCACTCAGGAAACAGCCACTGGATTTGCAGAGGGTGGGGGCGGGGTACATGTGCAAAGATGTGAGGCTCTGGCTTTGGGGTAAGTGGCTAAAAACAGACCATTTGCACCCCACCACCACCCCTCACTTCCCCCACCACTTTCCCTGCTCACGAGTCCTCATGGGAACTGAGCCAAACACAAACCCTGGCTGGGATCTTGAAGGCCATTTAGTTCAACTGCCCATTTAGAGAGGGGTAAACAGACTCGGAGAGGAGGCGACCTGCCAGGGTTACATACGGAGTCAGCAGCAGGGCAGGGGACAGCTTGTCTTCAAATTTAGATTCATTTCGGTTCATCACATCCCAAGTCTTTGTGATGACAGTGTGGGGAAAGACAATTGAGCCCTAACATGCCCCTTCCCCACCCCAAGTATCACGCTGGGCCTGCCCCACAGCCAGCGAGAGGAAAAGCTTCTGGGAAGGCTTGCAACAATCCATCTTTTTTTCTTATTTTCCTCTGGGGGTGCAGAATTTGGTATATTTCACCCCAGGTGTATTTGCTATAGTTGGCTCCTCACTGGGTCAGGATGGCTGGGCACCTTCTCTCCTGGCACGGTTCTCTTCGCTGCAGGGCGAGGGCAGGGAGCTAGAAGAAGTCCACAAAGCCAGCCGCCACGGCAGACCCAGTGGAGCCCAGGATTAGCTGGTCAACCTGGAGAGCCCAGTTGCTCCTGGGAAGGAGAGGGTAAACACAGTGGGGCATGCCTGTCACGGAAGCTCTATGGGACAGGACTGTGGGGGAAGAGACTCCAGTGACCCTCAGGAGGGCCTGAGGCCCAGAAACCCCACCCAGTTCCCCTCGTGTTTCCCAGCATCCTCGGGGGGTTGTTCTGGGCAAGGCTGCTGCAGGCATGAACGCTTGTGGTAAATTCCAGAGCTGGAAGCAGCCTCGCTCTTCAGGGAAGGAGGCTGCACCCCAGAGGGGAGGAGACACCCAGGTAACCCAGCAAGTCTGCTTCAGGATGAGTGGTCCTGAGCCCGCTGTTCCTGGCCAGGGCTCTTTCCCTCCGTCCCCATCTCCCGCAGGGCTGTTAGCTCACCAGAGAAATCCTGAGAGAATGGTAGAGAGAGACAGAGGAACAGAGAGATTGCGGCCCATGGGGTTGACTCAGGACTGGGCCTGGGAGGCTCTTGCCCTCCTCATCGCCCTCACCAGCAAGCCCTGCCAGGATGCTTACCCAGTGACTGCAGCGTAGCCACCAGGCTGCCTGAGGCAACTCTGCCCCGTCGTCGATGGCCACTGCAGACATCATCTTGGCTGCTAGGGAGTTCTTGGCCATTCCCGCCCCAGTGAAGCCCCTGGCACTGAGCACCACAGGCACAGCCTGCACCACCGTGGCTGTGGGGAAGAGGAGCTGGGTCGCTCCTCTTCTGCCAAGGGGAAATGGCCCCTGCCCGGCTGCCACCATGCCCTGCCCGCACACATTCCAGCTCCCAGTCTCCAGAAGGAACTCCCACACACATACACTGGGTCAGGCTTGGGGACCTCAGGGAATCTGGAGAAAGAGGTGAACTCTGAGCTTGGGAGAGACTATGGGCACAGCCAGTAGGCACGACTCGAGCGAAGCACAGCCAGGTGGGAAAAGTAGAGGAAAAGCTAGTGGGGTCCCTGGGCACGGGGCTCTGGGCCAAGCTCTGATAGGCAGCAGGACTGTCCTTGGGAAAGTCACTTGACCTCCCGACCTCAGTGTCAGCCTTAGCCAATCGCTGGAACAGGGGAGTGGTTTGCAAGTTTCTCATCTTTGCTTTCTTCATTTGGGGAGCAAATCTCATTAGAGGAACAGATCTTGCCCTGGAGATTATGTAAGAGGCACATTCAGAACAGCTCAAAGAGGCAGCTCTAGGCCTCCATGGTGTTGCCACAGAGCACATCGGAAGCCACGGGGAGCTGAGCCCCGGCATCTCTCTCCTGTCTACTGTGTTCAATCTCTATTGGTTCACCCTATGCAATCCTGATGATGGCCCTGAATGGGCATTACCAACCCTTTCCCTGGAGAGAACAGGAGCTCAGAGGAGTCCAAAGACATGCCCAGGGTCATTCAGTGAATGTTCTGCCAAGGGGAAATGGCCCCTGCCCGGCTGCCACCACGCCCTGCCCGCACACATTCCAGCTCCCAGTCTCCAGACTCCCTGCTTCCAGCACCGTTATTTCTAGTTCCTTGTTTCACACGCAGCCCCTCATCCCACCTCCTCCCCTGACCACCCCCGCGAAGGGAGCCTTGGCACGGACAAGGCCGGCTGCTCCCCAGGTCCACCTCCCTAGGAGCAGGTGATTACTTGAGCCCCTTCCCCACAGACTCACCTCCAATCACAACTGTAGCAACCCTGTCTGGAAACCAAAAGAACAGTCTGTGAGTGGATCCACGCTGGCCTCCCCTCCACTGTCTGAGCCAGCTGACTCCCAGGTTGGGAGCCAGAAGAAGGGATGACCCCCTCTACCGCTGTTTCATTTTGGGAAGTGGAATTTCTGGAGAAGGCGAAGGTCACTGGGGGGTTTGACTCCAGTGCTTGTCCTGATTAATTTACGTGGCCCTGACCTAGTTGGTTGGTTGGTTGATTGGGGGAAATCAGAAGTTTTCTTTTCTTCCTCCCAAGCCAGGTTTAGTTCAAATAAAAGGCAGAACAAAAATGAACAAAACCTTCTAGATGTGGCTAGGAAGACATGTTACTGTGACGTCCGTTCCCGGTAACAGGATACTTGGCAATGGAATATAGGGCTTGGTGGTTTGGCCGGGACAGGGAGAAGTGAAGAGGATGGGTGTCGTGCTTTCTGAGCAGGGCTGTTAGTTCATCTGAAGCAGGGTCAGTGTTTATTAGTGAGGGATACCATGACTTTCTCCTATAGTCCAGAAAAACTCTTCAGATAGTAATAAGTCCTCATGGTAAAGAAAGATGTGCTTCATTTTGCACTGTGTGGCTGAAGTCAGGGCAAGCACTGTGGAATGCTTGAATGCCACTTGAGAGCAATGCTTGAATTGAATGACTTGAAAGCTTCTGATTCTTCAAGGCCCATGCTATTGCTCCCTCCTCCAGGAAGCCTTCCCAGATTCTTCCAATCAGAACTCATCCTTGCTCCTCCATGACTGGAGCCACTCACAGCACTGGGTATGCATGGTTTGCTCCCCGACATGGTGAGCCCCTGGGAAGTAGGCAGAGGTTCCACTCCCCAGCAGCCAGAGGGGCCAAAACTGCAGTTTGGAACCAGGAGTTCTAGATAGCCAGATGTGCAGGAATGAGCTCAGCCAGCTCCCAGGGAGAGGCCTTAGAGTGATGGTGGAGGAAGTAAATTGACACAGGTGTGAAGGCCAAACCCTGAGTGACCAGGAAGGCCACCTGGAGGGCTTATAAGCCCCAGGATTCAGGAATCAATAACCATGTTAGAAGGGTCAGTTTTACTGGCAGGCAGGAGAGGTGACACTAAGTTGCCTGGCAGCCTGGTAAACCTGGGCCCTGACACACAAAAGCCCTCAGGAACTGGCTGCTGTGTGTCTGGGGGCCTGCCTGTTAGGCTCAGCTGATGGGCATTGATAGGGCAAAGGAGCCTGTCCTCTGCCCTGTGCACCCTTCAGAACCTTCTCTGCCCTGAGCCCTCCCTGCAACCTTCCCCCACTTCTATTAATACTTTTTTTTTTTTTTTTTTGGAGATAGAGTCTTGCTCTGTCACCCAGGCTGGAGTGCAGTAGCATAATCTTGGCTCTCTGCAACCTCTGCCTCCTGGATTCAAGTGATTCTCCTGCCTCAGCCTCCCAAGTACCTGGGATTACAGGCATGCACCACCATGCCTGGCTAATTTTGCATTTTGGTAGGACAGGGTGTCACCAGGTGTCACCTGGCCAATAGGCCAGGCTGGTCTCAAACTCCTGACCTCAAGTGATTCCCCCCCCTCCACCGACTTGGCTTGCAGGTGTGAGGCACTGTGCCAGGCATATTAATACTTCTTGTCGTTGTTCATTGTTCTACCGCCTGTTCCAAGCCTGGAAGCAGCACCCCCACGCCCTCCTGTCCTGCACAGAGCACTTGGACAACAGTAAATTGTCCCTGTTGGTAAATAAGAGATAGTATTATCTTCTTATCTTCTTCTGGGGTTGTTACAAGAATTAAACAAATGGACAAACAAGTGCTAGACTTCATGACTAGGACATAAAAGCACTGGCTCAAATTGAGCTGTTATTTTTTTAATTTTACTAATTGCCTGATCTTAAACTGAGAAGTCATCTGCATATCTGACAAACAGAAAGGACTGTTGGGTGTGGCCCAGGTCCTCACTTGCTCATGACACTTCTCTGCACTGAGTTGGGGGTACACAGAGTGGTGTGTGTTGCCAAGGGCCAGTTACCTCCAAGTTGCAAAACAGGGTGCCTATGAGGGACCCCAGCATGAAGGAGCTAACCTCCAGTGCCCCCAAGCGTCTGAGGATAGGTGTGTTGGGGGTCAGGGCAGCCGAGGATGACAGGGTCAGCAAAGGGTGAGTGCACAGGGCTCAAATAGAGGGTAGAGGCTGGGGCAGGGTCAGAAGTCAGGGTAGGGGTCATTCAAGCCTATGCCATTTGTGCTGGTGGAGTTGGGAGAATCCCTGGATGTCCACCCAGGAGACAGAAAGGTAAGGGGCAGCGGATACATGCAGAGAAGCACTTGCCAGCAGGTAGAAGCCAGCATTAGATGCTTACTGAATAACATTGATGGATCTCAAGAATATGGTTCAGTGTGGGAAACAGCGACAGAATGGGATCTATCACACACTCTCCTGCATGTCAATTACAACGCATGCAAACAAAACGCAATACCCTTTCTGCAAAAACACATATGAAAACAGACACACAGTAAATCTATCAGAAAGGCTGACTTTGAGGGAGGGGAATCAAGGATGAAAAGGAAGACAAATGAGAAAGAATAAATAAAACCAGAAAGAGATCTCACAGAAACCAGTGAAAAATGTGGGCTGAAGAAATTTTGTTAAAATCAGTACTCTGGATTGAGATCTCATAGGGTGCAGGGGCCCTGTTGACAAGGGAAACTCCCAAAGGAGATTAATTCTGATGGTGAATTTGGGGGAAGGAAGAGCTGAAGAGAGTGGGACTCAGTGATAGACAGACAGTTTTGGGCTAGGCAGGAGGAAGTCTGGGCCGAGAGGTGGGGAGACCTGCGGGACACCCAGGGCTAAGCCTGCCCCTGCCCTCTTCCCAGATGAAAAGCCAGGGCGGACACCTGCTGTGGGAGGACAGTGCAGGGCAGCAAGGCTGCAGGTGTTCCCCCCATTTTCTCTCCCACGGTTCCCTGGACGGGACCAACACCTGCCACAGTCGCCTCCTCACCCCCAGCAGCAGCCCCTCCCAGGAACACTCACCCACAGGCAAAGCTGCAGCACAGCCAGAGGCCACCCTGGCCACACCAGTCACTGCTCGGGTGAATTCCATGGCCTAGAGAGTAAGAGTTCCTCAACTTCAGCCAAAGGGATGGAGCTCTGAGGACGGGATGGGCACACAACCTGGCTTGCCTCCCACTATCCTGAAAGACATGAGGAGCTCCAGGGGGCTAGGGAGGCTGCTGTAAGCTGTGGGGACAGCAGGCCTGGAAAGGAACCTGGGGTGAGGGAAGGAGGGATGTTGGGGAGTTGGGGCTACCAAAGGACATGTGTTAGCCCAGGGCCATGAGGGATGTTATTTCCCCTGGGGTAGCAGGGGGGTATTGCTTTCTTCCTCCTGAAAGCCCCAGTGCCAACTTCTTAGACAGTTCTGGGACTTCCTTATATCTCCATGGAGCAGCTGAAAAGACACTAAAATTAGGAAATCAGAACCAATCACATTTTAAGGCGTATATGGCAGGTAAGGTAAGTGTTCTTCTGTAATCTCCTCACTAATGTGAAAAAGGTAGGACACCCCCACCCATGTTACAGATGAGGAAACGCTAGCAAAGCAACACCCCATCTCTACACACACACACACACACACACACACACACACACGACAAATACTATATAATTCCACCAATCAGCAGTACCTAGAGTGGTCAAATTCATAAAGACAGAAGGCAGAATTCCCAGGGCAGGGGGAGGGGACAGAGCAGATCTGTTTAATGAGGACAGAGATTCATTTTCACAAGATGAAAAAATTCTGGAGATGTATCACAACAACGTGAATATGTATCTAACACTGCTGAACTGTACTTAAAAAATGGTGGCCGGGCAAGGTGGCTCACGCCTGTAATCCCAGCACTTTGGGAGGCTGAGGCGGGTGGATCACCTGAGGTCAAGAGTTGGAGAACAGCCTGACCAACATGGTGAAACCCCGTCTCTACCAAAGATCCAAAAAAATTAGCCAGGCATGGTGGCTGACACCTATAATCCCAGCTACTCAAGAGGCCAAGGCAGGAGAATCGCTTGAACCCAGGAGGCAGAGGTTGCAGAGAACTGAGACTGCACCACTGCATTCCAGTCTGGTGACAGGGTGACACTCCATCTCAAAAAAACATGGTCAGGATGGTAAATTCTATGAGTTTTTATCACAATATAAAAGGGAGGGGGGTCCATGGAAAGAAACGTATGAAATCGCAGCAGCTCTTTACTGCTGAGAGTGGGACTGGGGTAGAATGAGGGGCAAGGACGCTCATCAGAGATAAAGGGGCTTCAGCCTTACCTGTAGGAATTTAGGACTCCAAGAGTAGAAGGTACTTCAAGATTTCTTAAGTAATTTAAATGCAATAAAATGCGAATTTTCATTAGAAAATAATATAATCCCATGCTGTAAAGTTAAAGCTAAAAAGACAGTAACCTACTGTCCACTTGCCTTCCTTAGCAGCTGGAGGGGTGAGAAGATAACAAGACAGACAGAGAAGCAGTGAACCTGGTGGGGAGCCTGCTTTAGTTTCCCCCAAGGGTCCACGAGGCCCGGTCTTCCCTCAGAACATCCCCCATGCTGTCCTTTACAGACTCAATGCCCCTTAACCCCCTCTCTTCTTTGAAGCAGAAACCTCTCTCAGGTATAGGAGCTCCTGCCCTGACTGTGAGTGTATCAGAGGCATGGGCTCTCCTCGAACTTTCTAAAGGTGAGCCCAGGTACACTTAAACAAATCATCTCATCCCACCCATCCTGCAGGCCGAACTAATGGATGTTAGGAATGAGTAAATGACTTCATTTAAGATAGCAGCATTAACATTTACTAGAGGCATTTGGGAAAGACGTTTCTTTGCTTTTCAGGAGAAAGTGCATGAAAAAATATTCTTTCTGGGAGACATGAATAAAGAAGGTAGCTTCCAGAGCCTGCTAACAGCTGTCTTGTAACCGTGAGAGCTGGCAGCCACCGGATGTAGCTGATGCCTCAGAAATGAAGAACAGAAGACAGGTCTTTGACAACCACGTTGTGCTGCTGAATCAAACCTTGCCTGAAGCATACTTTACCTTTGGACTTTTTCATTTAGTAAATCAATGATTTACTAAAATCATTGAACTCTGAGCAAGGTGCTGTCAAGTTTCTAGTACTTACAACTACATAATCCTTAAGTAAAACAGCACTTACTCCAGGCAGTCTTTTCACGTAGTTACAATTAGAATCAATCTCTGCCTTCTCTGTCCTATGAGCCATATAGCCTGATCCTCTTCAGTGACTGTACACGTTGTCTTATGTTGTCTTACCTGTGGCTGGATAAAAAGTGACCATACAATTTAGTGGCTTAAAAGAGTTATGTAGCTCATGATTCTGTGGGTCAGCAATCTAGGCAGGTGGTTCTTCTGGTCTCAGCTGGGTCCCTCACCCATCTGCAGGCAGCTGCAGGTCGGCTTTTGCAGATCTTGTCTGGGCTTGTTTCCATGTCTGGGGCCTTGTCTGGAATGAATGGGCCTTGTGTGCTTGTCCAGCCTGACTTGTTCTCACGGCAGTGATGGGGTCCAGGAGGTGCAGCAGAAGGCTGCAGGGTTTCTTAGGGACCAGGCTCATGATTAGCATGCCATCACTTCCACCACGTTCTATCCTCCAGAGCAACTCCCTGGGCCAGAAGAGATGCAAAGGGAGGGGAAAGAAAGTTCTGCTTCTTGATGGGAGGAGCTATACAGCCATGCTGAAAGGAAGGAGAACGTGATCATTTCTGTCATTTACCCCAAGTCCCTTAACATCATTGATTAAGGGCTGGCTTCCCCAACATTGTATACCCGGGGCAGAGATGGATCTCTGTGATCCTCTGCAGCTAGGGGGATCATGTGGGATGGAGCCCTTGAGGCCAGTTGGGAGCTGTGGGAGTCAGTTCAGTCAGCATCCCGGGGAGAGCCCATGGGAATACAGCTGTAAAGGAATAATAAGTGTGAAGGTCAAACAGCCCAGAGTGGGACTGAGGTGGAGATCAGAGGCCAAGTCTTAACAGGCTTTCCAGAAGTCAAGTGTGGCTTATCCTAACGGCCAGGCAGGTGCCGGGTGGCAGATGACAGGTCAGTGTGCACAGTGTGCATAGGACACCTGGCACCTGATCTGGGGCCAGGCACACAGGAGGTCCCAAATAAGATGCCAGGCACACAGTAGGTCTCTGGAAATGGGTGTTCTGCATTGGCCTACTTCTTAGAAGTCCCAGCCCCTTGCCCATCCTCACAGGCTGTGCTCAATCCATCTGGGGGCCAAGGAGCCTGGGCTCTGTGCTGAGAGGGAAAGAGCTCCCTGGAGGAATGAAACCTCTCTACCTGTATAAAGAAGGCCCATCGGCCAGGCAAATGCAGTGTTGCTGAACTTCTAGAGTAATTATACAGCCACATCCTAAGTCCTGGGTGGAAAAGGAAGGGATCAGTCAGGCATGGGGACAAAGGGCTTCATAATTGAGCGTCAATGGCTCAAGCAATGACCCAAGAGCCACACCATCCTATAACGCTGAGGCTGGCTCCCCCAACTGAAGAGCAGCAAACTGAGGCTCAAAGGGCAGACATGACCTGCTCAGGACCACAGAGTGAGTGGAAAGCCTGGAGTCAGACTGGCTCTGGTCATAGACATCCCATGCTCCTTCCTCTTGAGTCCCTCCCTGCCCAGCACTCCTGCTGCAGCACTGTACTCTATCCTGACCACAAGAACAGAGAACCGATGCTAGGAGAAGATCAGCAGCATCTTGCCTTTATTTTTCATGCTTCCTTGGAATAGTTTTGGGAGTAGGGGACTTGTCCTTTGAGGACTGTCATTCAGAGGCCCAGGAGAGTCATCTCCATCAAGAGAGTCACCTCCCTGCTTCAGTGTGGTGTTCAGCTGAGGGTGCGAAAGGAACTCAGCCAGGCTCCAAGTATTGACCTAGCAGAGCTCAGGATGACTCCAGATGTCACGGAGGATCCAGCTGCCCCTGGGAGAGAAGAGAGGGTGAGCACAGAGCACAGGGAGGGGTAGAAGCTCCTAACAGGGGGTTGGAGGCCAGAGACCCTGGTTCCCTCCAGATGCCTGAGGTCCAGGCAGCCCAACCCTTTTCCCCACCTCTACTTCCTAAAACCCTAGGATTTCTGCTTTGGGAGGGGCTGCTGCAGGCCACTGCCTGGAGAAGAGGCAGGAACTCTGGTGAGGGAATCCCAGCAACAGGGCAGACCCTGAGAAATGGCAGGCTCCTTATCTTCCAAAGGCCCAGAGAAGGGAGGGGACCTGCCTGGCTTTTGTAGGGTTCACCAGGAATGCAGATCTCCTAGGCTGTACCCCTGGGTCCCACCTCCAACCAGAAGAAAGGACAGTGACAGAAAGACAAAAAGGGCTCAGGAGGCTGAGGGTCATGGAACTGCAGGGAGAGGAAAGGCCTCCCTGGGGTCCAGCCTTGGGGCTGGATCATCTCCTGGCTCTGGACATCCTGTCCGGAACACTTACCCACTGACTGCAGAGTAGCCATCAGACTGCGCACAGCAACTCCACTCCCTCCATCATCTGGGCTGCCATGGAGGATGCAGCGATTCCTCCTGAGGTGAAGCCCATGGCACTGAGCCCCACAGGCACAGTCACCACAGCCACAAATGCAGGCAAGTGGAGATTTGGGGTTGGCCCCACGAGAGAGACTCCCCAGACCTCCCTGACATCTTCCTGTGGAGGTGATGTCTGCTGTGCTTTTGGGAAAGACCTGGAGCAGGGATGGGATCCCAAAACAAGGGCAGTCAGTGTGGAAAGCAGCCAGTGGACTGGCTCCCCGGAGAATCTGAATTCCCAGGCCTGTTTAGAACTGTTTCACTGATACCATGTGGGGCTCACTGGCCCTCCCTGGGCCTCTGTTCACATAATGTCAAATAAATACATTGAAGTCAAATAAAAACAGAAGTCTTCAAACTTTCCCTTTTGGCAAGGAAAATATGATCTCTCCAAGCACAAGGTTGACAGAAGACAATATCAGAGCTGCTCTTCCAAAGAGGTGAGGGGATGGAGGCCCTGAGGGCCCTGCAGAAGCATGTGGGGGTCCTCCAGGGCTCCCCCACATCTCCAGAGCAGTGCAGTCAGAGAGCTATCTGCAATCATAGCCAAGTGTAGCCATGTTAAACACTTGAAATGTGATGCAGGTGACAGAGAAATGTTATGAGTTTCTTTAGTTTTGGCCACTGCATTGGAGGACATTGCTTTACAGCAGCTCAAAAGCTTCTGACTCAGTGGATGGGCTACCAGGCTTTGTCAAATAATTTTGAGGAATGAGACACAGCTCAGCTGACATACTCCCTGCAAAAGTCCCCACGGATACCATGGGCCCCGCTTTAGAGGGGGAGGAATCCCAGGCTCAGGCTGCTCAAATGACTCATCTGGGGTCGCATGGTTTATATTTGGTGGAAGCTGAGAGTAGCCCCAGCTCTGGCTGCCTCCGAAGCCCTGAGCTTTTAATGGCTGTGCTTTGCTTCCTGCTGCTCAAGGTTCTCATCACTCTGCCCACTCCACTGCTACCCACATATGTCTTGGGGACCCCTGGGTTTGGTCAAGGCTAGTTTCTCCCAGAGGTTCAGGACTGGGGAGATGTGGAGGAAGAGGGCTTGAATTCCTCCCCTAGTGACTCACCTCCTCAGATCACAGCTGCCACAGCAGACCTACCTGGAGACGAAAAAAAAAAAAAAAAAAACACAAAACACAACAAAAACACCACAAACCTGTGAGGGTGGGTCCACTCTGATTCTGATAGCTCCATCTCAAATTCAGCTTTGCTATTCTTTCCCTCTTTTGAAGCCCCTGACCCATCCTAGGCCATAGGTCAGAGGTGAAGGCCCCATCCTCAGGGCTCCGCCCATGGCACCTTCTGCAGGAAGCAGGTCCTGCCATCAGAAGTCACCTGTCTCCTCGGCCCAGCCCCCTGCAGCACTGGGCAGAGCATGCCTGGGCCTCCTGAACTGCTTTGAGTTCTCAGGGCTGGCAGGGACATCTGACAATGGCTGTCACAGGGGTAGGGACTGGGATGCTTTGGCAGCGAGGACCAAAGTTCTGGAGATTTCAGGACCTGCAGGAGTGAGCTCAGCCAGCTCCCCAAGAAGAGGGGCCTTGGTCTCAGCCAAGTAAGAGAAAGTGCAAAAATCAGCTTCAAGCCTCCCATCACTCCCTGCCATTCCTTGAAGCTTTTAGCTCATGGCTCAGGTCCTCCCATTCTCTCTATCACGACTCCTAACCTGTCTTATGATTTCAATCTCTACTCAGATGACATTTCCCATAAACGTGTCTTTCCGTTCTTACTTCCTCATCTCTAAAGATCTTGGACTCTGTGACGCGCATTCCCTCAGTCACACCCTAGGCCTGTGCTGCTCACTGCGGTAACCGCTAGCTACGTGTGGCTATTTAAACTTTAATGAATTAAAAATGAAATAAAACATAGAACTCAGTGCTTCATGTACTAGTCACATCTCAGGAGCCCAAGAGCCACGTGTAGCGTGCAGCTGCCACAGTGGACGGCTCAGATGACAGAAGGTTTTATTAGTTCTATTAGCATTCTGCCCTAGACCTTATAAATAACAAAATGGTACCCTCCCTGTTATCAGCAGTGAGCAGCCCCCTAGAGATCCTGACTCCTTCCTTTCCAGCTTTCTGAGTTTAACACAAGCTTTGGGAGCTCTCTGGCCACCCTGGGATTTCTGATCTTTGTCTTAGTTTCCTAGGCTGCTGTAACCAAGGACCCTAACCTGGGTGGCTCCAAACAACAGAAGTCAATTATCGCTCAGTTCTGGAGACCAGAAGTCCAAAGTCCAGGAGTCAGCACGGCCACGCTCTGTCTGAATGCTCTCAGGGAGGGTCCTCCTCTGCCTCCTTCTGGCTTCTGGCAGCTGCTGACGATCCTTGGTGCTCCTGGCCTGTGGCTGCATCGCTCATCTCTCGTCTGTCTTCATGCTGCCTTCTCCCTCTGTGGCTCCAGGTTTCTTCTTTGCTCGTAAGGACAGTGGTCATATTGGAAGAGGGGCCACTCTATTCCAGTGCGACTGCATCTTAACTCACATCTTAGTTACATTGGCAATGGCAGTATTTCCAAACAAGGTCACGTTCACAGCTACTGGGAACTGAGACATTTTTGGTGGGGTGGGGGGACAATATAACCCGTAACACTATTCCTCACTCACCGACATCCTCTCTACCCTCCTCGCCCATTTAGAATCCATTCCGACTCATGGCAAGTGCCCCTCACACACCCTTCAGCTCTCTCCCCTTCTCTTCCTCTCTCATGTTCAACCTCACTGTGTCTTTCTGTTCCTTTCACTCCCCACTCTCGGAGAGTATGCAAATTTCACAACTGCTCCCTGATCTTCAAACCAGCACCACCTCCTCTGTTGCCTCCCTAATTCACCAAGAAAAGGCAACCAGAAGAGAGCTTCCCCTCGCTGGCATCACCAAGCCTACCCTCCCACCCGCCCCCCCACATTCCGCTTCTGTGACGAGCAGCGCCTGCACCTGCTACCTGTGTGCCTCCCCGCTTGTGTGCCTGTCCCCTCTGTGCACTGGGCCCACCTACTTCCTACTGCAAGTCACGCTCCAGTAGTGCCTCCCTTGGTTCTGCATCATCAAAGTCTCCCTCTCTCTGGGATCATTCCCAATACCAGTAAAACAAAGACAACCTCTCCCTTCACACCCCATCTTCCTCCAGCTGCTGCCTCACTTTGCTTTGCTCCTTAGAGCAAAGCTCTTGTGATAGTTCTGTCTATTTAGGGAGAGGCAGGATGGCACTGTGGTTAGGCACCCAGACTCAGAACTGCATGACCTTGAGCAGTTACCTAGCTTTCCTGTCTCCTCTATAAAATGTGTAAGATAATGAGAGCAGCCACCTCCCAGGGTTAGTGAGAGGATCTAACGCAAAGCACTAGAACATTAGTGAGTCTTTAAGATGTGAGCATAGGCACGACTCATGCACCACCACTCCTCTCATGCGCTCTCAAACCTGTACCCATCAGCCTTCCTCCCAACCCAGTCCCCAGGAAACTGGACTTACAAAGTCCCCACTGACCTCCTTGGTGCCCATTCAGAACACTCCCTCTTGGGCCTCAACATTCCCAGTGCTCAGCAGTGTCTGACACGGGTGATTACTCTCTCTTCCTGAAAACATCTTTGGTGCGCTTGCATTGCATCACCCGAAAAGATATGTTCAAGTCCTCACATCTGGTACCTGTGAATGTGACCTTAATTGGAAATAGAGTCTTTGTAAATGTAATTCAGATGTGGCCATACTGGAGTAGGGTGGGCCCTTACTCTAGTATCACTGAGGCCTTATAAGGGAAAAGTAGAGACAGATACTTGGAGTCACACAGGAGAAGCTCATGTGAAGACAGAGACCGAGATTGGAGCGACACAGCCACAAGGGAAGGATGTCACAGCAGCCACCAGAAACTAGGGGGTGGCATGGACATTCTCCCCAAGAGTCTTCAGAGACAGCATGGCCTGAGGACACTCTGATTTCAGACTTCTGGCCATCAGAACTGTGAGAGAGTAAATGTCTGTGGTTTTAAGCCATCCGATCTGTGGTTCTTTGTGACAGCAGCCCCAGGAGGCCAACACATGTTCTTCATCGGCATCCAAAATAGGACTTATTCTCCACGGTTCCCCCTATCATACTTGCCTGTCCTTCTCAGTCTCATCCAGCTCTTCTCCCTGATCTCAGCGTATTGTGGGTGTCTCCAGGGTCAGTCCTCAGGCTCCTCTGCTTTAGCCCCATGCCACGGGGCGCTTCACCCAGTCCCACTGCCTTAAGTACTCTGGTGACTTGCAGATTGATGTGCTTAGCCTAGACCTACTCCACAGGCCCTGTGGGTGACTGAGAAGCACCTCAAACATAGAGTGACCCAAGTGCACTCCCACTTCCCCTCTGGAAGCTGTCCCTCCAACAGCTGCCCAAGCTCTGTAAGGGCAGCCCCGTTCTCTCAGCAGCTCAGGTTAAGCGGCCTGGAGTTTCTCTCCTTCACAGCAGTCTACCTGTGAATGCTTATTCACCTTCAGAAATATCTCGTCTGACCATTCCTCATACTTCTGCAGCTCCAGTCCTGGACTAAGCCTCCTGCATCTCTCAGTGGGATGACTGGAGGAGCTTCCTAAGTTGTCTCCCTGCCTCTGCTCTGGCCCAAGTCACTGTTGAACCTAGAATCCATTCTCTCAAAAGCCTTCACGCTATGAAAGTTGTCAGAATCAAAATGGAGTTGCTTAAGCCAAATCCTAATAACAAAATGGAGGCAGGCCACCAAGAAGGCTCTCATGCACACATGCCCATGATAAGAGCTATTACAGAGATGCTCTGCAAACCGCAACCTTGCAAAAAGCCACTGCAGCCTTCTGTGAAGAGTACTTCTGAGTGGGTGACTGCCCAGCAACTGCCTGTTCCATCTTGGGCTGATGCCACACTTGTAGCCAAGGATCATCGTTTCAAACCACTTATGTAACTTTCCTCATTCTGCCTTTAAAAACCTTTGTCTTCCTTTGCCGTCCTGGCTACATCTGCGGCCCCGCCATAGTTCACTATGGTACATGCATTCTGGGATTACAAAAAAAAATCCCCTGTCATTCATTCCTGAGTAACCTCTTTTCAATGGAGTGCCTCCCTCCTCTGTTATTTGGGGTTGACATAATCTGGTGTCAGAAGAGTAGGTCACAAAGCAAGCTCACCTCGGAAGGACCAGCAGCCCCCGGAATCACGTGCAGTACCCACCTGAGCCCCATCTGCTCTTTCCCATGGTTGGCCCCTTTGCCTCAGTGAGTCTCCACGTGGATTCTTGGAATTCCACCTGTTGGTTGAGTTTTGACTTTATTCAGGATCTGGTTTGGATAAGGCTGCATTAATAAAGGATTCTGCATCCCTCCCGGGACTATAAAACATACTGTCTTTTATGTTTTTCTGGTGTAAAGAGTCTGTCTTTCTAGTGAGTTCTCTTCTGATTTCATGTTTGGTTTTCACACATTTCAGTAAATGATATGACTCTTTTACATTCCCCTCCACCCCCTTTTTTCTCAATAACTTTCAAGAGGAAAGATGAATATACCAACATTGGGCATGGGATGATTAGTTAAAAGCCATTAGGGCAACTACCACCAACTATGAGGGACTTTGGTCTTCAAAAAACAAAGTCCCCTATGTAAGAATAAACTGAGCACAAATGGCAAGACTTTCACAAGATGGCTACCAGTCTCAGGAAAACTTCCATGCAACAGGAGAATCATGCTTGCCAGTCAGACAAGGAGGGCAAAGCCCATCCACCAAGTAAAAGAAGTATCCCTGTGTCAGTCATGCTTTTAAAAACAAACACTTTGCCCAAATCCTTAAAATTCCTTAAATGCTTATAAGACTTTCTTTTGCTCTCAAGAAGTAATAAGAAATGGAATGGGATTCCCAAATTCTAAGGCATACCAGGACAACCTTCCTTTGGGTACTCTAGCTGGTTATATGTTCAAACATCATGGTGGGGAGCAACAGGGAAGATGGTGGATAGGAGACGAAGCTAATGTGCAGCTCCCACTTGGATGGACAGACCAGTGTGTGGAGACTCACACCACAAACATCAAAGAACCACTGCAGGACCATACAAGTAAACAGAAAGAATTTACAGATTTTTTGAAAGAAGCAGCATGTCACTGTATATTCTGCGAGACAAGCAAAAAACTGAGTTCCCAAAGTGCGAGGGGGGTAACCTGCCTCCAAACACACATCCTCACTGGGGAACTGGAAATCCAGATCACGGGAGGATTTAACCCTACTTAGAGCTGGAATGGGTTTAGGGAGTTGTGCAAAATATAAAAGTGAAAGCAACAGCAGGAAGAGCTCTGTAGACATTCCTGGTCTCCAGCTTGAGCCCAGGGAAGCTATCCCTGACTCTATCTCACAGGGGTGCTCAAAGAACTCAGCAGAATCAGGGAGGGGTCACAGGGTAGAAGAAGCTTCCAACTGAATTCTGCAATAATTTCAGCTGGGCACAAACTTTCTTGAGCAGAGTCCAGGGGATGAATGGAACTGCTGCAGACAAGAGGGCAGGAGCCACAGCTGACATTGTAGGCAGACAGGGAGGGGAGAAACCTGAAAGCCGAGCTTGCTTGCTCAGCAGGGTAGTTTATGGCCTGGGACTAGGTCTAAGCTCTGCACACATAAGATGCCTGGATCTAAACGTGGCACTATTAGTGGGGCACTGCAGGAGCGAGACCAGCCTCTCCAGCTGCATGGGAGGTGGGTGAGGCCTTCTGCTACCAGCTATCCCCACTGACTTGGTGAACAATACTGCTAGGAAGAGGCAGCCACACTCCCCTCTGGAACATAATCCCACTGGCCTGAGAACCAGCCCCACATACACCACAGTGGTCACAGCAAGTCCCACTCAAGGAGAATCTGAGCCCACACTCACCTAACCCTACTCTCTCACCTGATGGTACTCCTCTACCTGCTCTTGTAGCTGAACACAAAAGATATATACCCTTGGGAGCTTTATGGCCCCACCCACCACCTTAGTGATGAGAATACCTCCCCTGGCCAACTTACACAAAGCTTATATGCCACTGCTAAGACTGTAGCTGGTGCTTTCTAGCAAGTGCCAACTCCTGGTTGGAGGCCAACCAACTCAGGCCATTACAGCAACTCATGACAGAACAATCCTGCTCCCAGGAAGGAGAAAATGACAGTTAATACCACTGCCTGCAACATCCTGGCTAACCAGAAGCCCTGTGTCTGTCCACCTGACACCATCACTGCTAGCATAACCAGCATTCGAGAAAGCCAGCACACCCAACCTACCTACAACCAAGAACTCTCACAGTCTATCTACTTCACTCCCCTGCCCCCTCCACCACAGCAGGTGCTGATATCCATGGCTGGGAGACCTGAAGATGGACCACATCACAGGACTCTTGGCAGACACTCCCCAGTACCAGCTCAGAGCCCGGTGGCCCCACTGGGTGCACAGACCCAGAAGAGCAATAACAATCACTGCAGTACGGGTCTCAGGAAGCCCCATCCCTGGGGAAATGGGGAGAGTACCACATTAAGGGATCACCTCATGGGACAAAAGAATCTGAACAGCAGGGCTTGAGTTTCAGATCTTTCCATTGGTGTGTAGATTCTCACCGCAGAGACACAATTGCAGCGCTAGGTGCAGTAGTGAAAGTCTGCACCTATATCCCAACAGGCTGGAGTTTGAGACCAGCCTGGCTAACATGGCGAAACCCCATCTCTAGAAAAAAATACAAAAATTAGCTGGGTGTGGTGGCACAGGCCGTAATTCCAGCTACTTAAGGGGCTGAGGCAGAAGGATCAGGAGCTTGCAAAATGATTTCAATTTGAAGTTTTGCTGATGCTTCCTAATGTGTTGTTTTCCATATAGAAGGAAATCTTTTTTAAGCTATCTGCAGCTCATAACAAGTTAATGCAGGGGTTGCATGGCAACATATTCAAGCTTACGTATAAGGCATTTGAGTTCGAGGCATGGAAAAATACTGAGGCACTGCATGTATGTTGTTTGTGCAGGAGACTCTAGCTCCTTGACCCTGAAAACAGGACAAGGAACGAAAAGTGTGATAAAGATCACCTCCTGAGAATGTGGTCTGAATGCTTTTAGAGATAGTCAACAAGGCCATATGTGCCTCATGACCCCACCACAAATCGCCCCCGGGTGGATGTTTTTTGTATGAATTGTAGTTCAGCAAGCTCTCTCAATAAATATTTGGTAGGGCACTGTCTCAGAAGAGCTAGCTGCTCCCCGCCCCGCTCGGCTGGAATCGTCTGAGTACTTCATTCACTGCAGTTACAAGCTGCAGGTAAAATACACTTTTGTTAACAAAATGGAAACATTTACTTTCCGCACCCCCAGACCTGATACCTCCAAAATTTGGAAACTACATATGAGTGTTCTCATTTTGGTGGTAAATATTTGCATAAGCTTAATAAGAATCTGCCCTCTTTTTAACAGGATACAACTGCAAATGTTGGTTATATTACTAAAATGTTGACTAGGATGTCATACTGAAGATCGTCTATAGGTATTGCTATAGGGTCTAAAGTCTGTCTTAGTCGGACTTCCTAGCCTAAAGAGGTTTTTAAGTCTGAGAGTCCTGTGTGGTCAATCACCACTCTTCCTGCACTGAAGTAAACAGTCAGGCAAAGTCTGATGAGGCTCAACATACTGAAGAAACATACTGGTCTTATTTTGATTACCTTTGGTAGAAATGGAGGTATTAAAAAATCATGTTTCGGAAAAAAAATCCATAGTAACCCTGTTATTAGATTGTGATCTTGTTCAACGTTTTTCAGTTTTTATTCTTTACCTACAATGTGGACTGAATCCTGAATGATTCCAGTTTCTTCTGAGAGCCAGATGTAAGTCTCACCCGGTTCCCTGTAGTCATTTGGTTTGTTTAATTGGTTATCGTCGGGCTTGGGTTCATGATTCAAAACTGCTATGCATACTGGAGTCATCATATTATTATTAATTTGGCTTTGCATGGTCCTTTTTCAACTTTGTACCTACTGCCTGTCAAATTTCTACAGAAATACAATAGCTAACAGAACAGTGCTTGCTTGGTCCAGTGCTTTGAAATAATAACTGACACCCATGTAACTGACAAACTTGCACTTAACACTGAACTCCAGGCAGACTTAGCCTGAGAGCTACTTTAGCCAAAAGGGTTTTGACACTGACTCTTAGTTGTCAATCCCTTCCCTCCAATATGGGACCAGGCCAACGAGGACAGTCCATCCTGGTACTGAGCTATAAGCAAAACCTAACCACTGGATGACTGATCATCAGTGTTTTTAGAGAAAGGTTATCAAGAGAGGAAAATGTGGAAGTTGTCAGAATCAATATGGAGCCACTTATGCCAAACCAACTAAATAGAGGCAGGAGGCTATCAAGGAGGGCCTCTCATTCACACAAGACTATGATAAAAATGATTACAAGACTCTCTGAAGACTACAACCCTGCAGAAAGACCACTGTAACTGAGGCAGGAGAATAGGGTCTGGAAGCAGGGAACCTAAGTCAAACAGAAAAGCCCCAGCTTTCCATGCCCAAATAAAAACTTTGTAACTTTACTTCAGCAATGACAGGAAACATCCTCTCCATTTACATAGGGTGTACACCAAGTAAATAACTGTAATCTCACTACATCCTATTCATTTACATAGGGCATACACCAAGTAACCAATGGGAAACCTCTAGAGGGTTTTTAAATACCCAGAAATGTCTGTAACTGGGCTCTTGAGCTGCTTGCTGGAGCCTATTCCCACTCTGTGGAGTGTACTTTCATTTCAATAAATCGGTGCCTTTCTTTCGTTGCTTTGCTTGTGCCTTCTGTCCAATTCTTTGTTCAAAAAGTCAAGAACCTGGATACCCTCTACTGGTAACATATTTTGGTGAACCAACCAGGAAATAAGTCCAAAGTTTGGGATTTACTTTTCTTCTCTTTCGCTTCTCTCTTTCTTTCTCTCAAACAGATGAACCCTTAATGGCAAAAGATAATGTCTCTTAGGCATTTTGACCTCCTTTCTCCTACTCATTCTATTAGACTGGGCAAGGACAAAAGAAACCCACCCAGCCTCCAGTTCCTGTCATTAAGGTTCGTGGCTATAACGTTAGTGGACAGGAAGCATGGGAAAGTGTGGCCATATCAAATTATAAGGATGCATGAAGTCAAGGCCTTCATCCAAGGACAAAAGGAAAGCTCATAGTAGGCCATCACCTCTGGAAGGAAAACATGCAAAATGGCACCAGTGTCCACCTAAGAGATGTCTGACACTCAGATTGAACCGCAAAGCAGGGCACCCCCAGGGGATCCTCCAGACCTCAACCTCTCCAAAAAGGATACCCTCACCACAGGTTCTGATGTCTAGTACTAAGCCCTCCTCAGAATTTTCTCTCACAGTTGCAATACTGTTTGGCCCCAATATTGTTTGGAACCTGGAGTTTGCTGCTGAATGGGAAAGTGGGATGAGTTGCATGTATCTAGGCTCGTGCTGTTATCCTAAGCAGGGCCAGGCCTGGTTAGTATGAATGTTCTCCTTTGGTGCTGTTTGGCCCCAGCGTTCTTTGGAATCTGGGGATGTTTGGTCTTTAAAAATCAAACTACTGTGAAAACTGCTTTACCCAAAATTTGGGTTCACAAACTTCATTGGATTACCTCTTCGGGCAAACAAAGTAAAACCAGTGAGCTTGTATTGCTATCTCATGGCTAGATTTCCAAGGTAAAAGCTATTGGATTTCCGTTGGCATGTGTGTATACCAGTCTAGATGAGTTTATTCGTATGTATACTTACTGTTATACATTGTATATGCCAAATTAGCTTCTAAGAGTACTCCTAAATAAAAGTAAATAAGTCTAAGGAGTTGTCAAGTTCATGTGACTTGAGTATAACTTTACCAAACAAACTGGCTTTAAAAATGTTGGTAAAGTAAAAATAGAAGTGCCTTCAGAATTTTCAGCATACGTTTTTGTCTGGATTTTATATATGTCTCTAGTAGATAATTTGAGGTGTCAGGGTGTGGCATAGAAGGTTATACAACTATAAACCTACCCAAAACAAAATAATCTTTGTGCAGACTTTTTAATAAGTAAGACTAATTATGTTATTGGTTTAATGAGAAGAGCTGAATCTTCTGAGTTACTGGTGAAAATGCCTATATAGTTAACTTTAAGGTTCTGATTTTGGTGAATACCTGATATTCACAGATTACAAAATGGTTATTGAGCCTACAGTTTGAATATGGGTTGTTTGACTTCCCTAAGTCTTGTGCTAAAATTTGATCCCCAGTGTTGGAGGTAAGGCCTAGTGGGAGATGTCTGGATCATGGGGGCAGATCTCTTAGGAATGCGCTGGTGCTATTCTCATGAGAATGAGTTTTCACTCTCAGTTCTCATGAGAACTGTATGTTGAAGAAAACTCTGAAACTCTTTCTCACCATGTGACATGCCAGTTCCTTCTACCATGAGTGGAAGCAGCCCGAGGCCCTCAGCAGAAGTAGAAGCCAGAATCATTATTGCTGTACAGCCTGCAGAACTGCGAACCAAACAAAATTCTACTCTTAATAAGTTACCCAGCCTCAGGTATCCCATTATAGCAAGACTGTCCACCCATGGCCCGTGACCTGCATGTAGCCCAGGATGGCTTTGAATGCAGCCCAACACAAATCCATAAACTTTCCTAAAACATTATGAGATTTTTTTGCAATTTTTTTTAGTTCATCAGCTATCATTAGTGTTAGTGCATTTTATGTGTGGCCCATGACAATTTTTCTTCTTCCAATGTGTCCTAGGGAAGCCAAAAGACTGGACACCCCTGCCTTATAGCAACACAAATGGACTTGGACCCCTTCCTTTACCTCTCTGGGTATGTCTATGCTCTACCCTCATGGTTCACCATAGCACGTGTCATCCCAGATTGCAATTGCCTGTCATTCATTCTCTAATAAACTCTTTTGAAGAGCCCCTCTCTCTGTTGTTATTTTTGATTGATATAATCATCCCTAACTCCTTTCTTTTCATCTCATTCCATGTCCAGTCTGTTAATGAATCCTGTCCACTTACCCTTTAATATATGTCCAGAATCTGACCACTTCATAATATCTCCACCACTGCCATCCTAGTCCACCATCACCTCCTACTGTCCAAGGTCAGGAATATAGAACACTGAATGGAGATGTATCTATTGGCTGCTGTGGTGCAGGGAGAAGTGATGGTGTTGACCCATCCATCTGTTTAAAACCCCTCGGCAGCCTTGTATGGCCTGTAGGATAAGCAAGCCATCCATGAACTGGCTTTTGCCTCTCCCCAAACTTATTGCTGCCAATATCCAGCTATGCTCCTGTCCTGAGGAATAAACAAAGGTCATTCCTTGCTCTTTTAGGCCTCTGATCCTTTGCATGCCAGATCCAGGAACATTTTCAGGACCTCACCATCTTACATATTCTCCCGGAAGACTTCCACACATTCCCAATCTCCCTTGACCAACTATACCTCCACCTATGCACTCAAATGTGAGTCCACTATGTCCTTTCTGCCACAGAATTTCCCAGAATGCAATGTTCTTCTCTATCTCCTCTGTTGGATTTGGAGCTCTCTAAAGTCAAGGACTGCTATGGTTTAGATGTTCGTCCTCTCCAAATCTCATGTTGAAATGTGATCTTCATTGTTGGTGGCGGGGCCTGGTGGGAGGTGCTTGGGTCATGGGGGAATATCCCTTTTGAATGGCTTGGTGCCCTCCCCATGCTAATGAATGAATTCTCACTCTGCTTATTCATGCAAGAGCTGGTTGTTTAAAGGAGCCTGGCATCTCCTCCCCTCACTGCTGCTCCCTCTCTTGCCATATGACACACCTGCTCTCCTTCAACTTCTGCCATGAATAAAAGCTTCCCAAGGCCTCACCAGAAGCTGAGCAGATGCTGGTGCCATGCTTGTAGAACCTACAGAACCATGAGTCAAATAAACCTCTTTTCTTATAAATTACCCAGTTTCAGGTATTCCCTTACAGATATGCAAAACTGACCAACATGAGTCAGGAGCCATTCATTGCTGCCTCCCTTAATGCTAGGCCCAGACCTGGGATACTCAAGTAGACACTGAGTATTTCATAAAAAGATGCATGGATAAAGAGTGTGCCTAAGGCTGGCAACAGTGACTGGCACACGTAATCCCAGTTACCAGGGAGGCTAAGACAAGAAGATCGCTTGAGGCCAGGAGTTCTAGACCAGCCTGGGCAACATTGCAAGACTTTCATCTCTAAAAATTACCTGATTACTGTCACGTGTACCTGCAGTCCCAGTTACTTGGGAGGCTGAGACTGGAGTATTGCTTGAGCCTAGGAAGTCTAGGCTGCAGTGAGCTATTATCATGCCGCTACACTCCCGCCTGGGCATCAGAGTGAGACCCTGTCCCTAAATTTTTTTTAAGTGTGCCTTTGTGCATCAAAAGACACAATAAACAGAGTGAAAAGGCAACCTGCAAAATGGGAAAAATATCTATAAATAATATATTTGATAAGAAGTTAATATCCAGAATTACAACTCAACAACAACAAAACTCAATTAAAAATGGACAAAGGACTCAAATAGATACTTCTCAAAGAAGATATACAAACAGCTAAGAAGCATATGAAAAGATGTTTAACATCATTAATCAGGAAAATGAAAGTCCAAATCACCTTACATACATTAGGATGGCTACAAACAAAAAAATCTGAAGACAACATGTTTGGAAGGACGTGGAGAAATTGGAACCCTTGTGCACTGTTGGTGGAAATGTAAAATCGTACAGCTGCTATAGAAAACAATATGACAGTTTGTCAAAAAAATAAAAATAGAATTCTCATATAATCCTGTAAACCCACTTTTGGGTAAATACCCTAAGCAACTGAAAGCCTAGTCTGGAGGAGATATTTATACACCCATGTTGATAGCAGCATTGTTCACAGTAGCTAAAAGATGAAGCAACTCAAGCATCCATCAACAGACAAATGAATAAACAAAATATAATATATACATGGAATGGAACATTATTCAGTCTTCACAAGAAAGTAAATTCCAATAAATTCTAGAGCAAGGATAAATCTTGAAGATCTTCCATTCTGCTAATTGAAATTAAGTCAGCCACAAAAAGACAAATGCTGTATGATCCCAATTATATGAGGTACCTGGAACAGTCAAACCCATAGAGACAGAAAGTAGAATGGTGGTTTCCCAGGGCTGGGGGGAGTACAGGATGGGAGTTGTCATTTAATGAGTACAGAGTTTCAATTTTCCAAGATTAAGAGTTCTGGAAATGTGTGGCAGTGATGGCTACACAATGCATATGTACATAATTCTACTGAATTGTACAGTTTAAAATTATTAAGATGGTAAATTTTATGTATATTTTACCCAAATTAAAAACAACAAAAAAAGGATTGTCTCTGCTGTCCTGCCCCAGGTGGCCCCACTGTAGAGGTGGGAAAGCTCAGCAAGGGTGTGTTGGGGAGAAGGACATTATTGATTGGGCCCTGGGGCAGCAAGGGGGAGCACCCAGAGAAATGAAACTTAACACCGGCTGTGAGGGCTCTGGGGCCAACAGGCAGGGCACAGGTAGTAGACTCTGGAAATAGGCGAGCCTGAGCCTGTACCTCCTGGAGCCAGGAGCCTGAGCCAGCAGAGCTCTGCAAAAACCACGAGGCCAGCATGAACCTATGCCACCCAGTTAGATATAACCTAGTGCTGGGAGACACCTGAGAGTGACCTAATCCTACTCCTGCATTTTGAAACCAACCAACTGAGGCCAGAGACAAGAAGTGCAGTACCTCATCTCCTGTCATAAACTGTGCCCCTTTTCTGACATTGCAGGTGGCAGAGACTCCATTGGGGCCATGTGCCTTCATCCTATGGTTATCACTATCTTTCCCCAAAACAGAGCATGTAAAACCGAAAGTGCTCTGCCTGATAGGTGACATATGGTAGTCCCATACGTCTGTCCTATAGCGGTTTGTGGGCCACTTCCAGAATGCCCCCAAATCTGCACAGACTACAGCTTTTAAAGTTAATGACTTTGCCTGGGTCCCTAATCTCCATGGTTCTGTTCTCTAACATTCTGTCTGTCCCATGCCCAGTGTGCCCCTACCCAGCCCAGGTTTTAGGCCTTGAGGGATGCATAAGTTGGGACCAGGCCAGTTGCTCTCAAAGGCTCAGGGTAAGGATGGGCTTGAGCCCCTTCCCAAGCAGACACTCACACTGATCACCATGCAAGCAGCCCTGGATGGAGGGGAAGAAAAATGCTGTGTGTGGAGTCCCTGTTGCTCCCTCCCCTCCTCCACTTCCCAGACCCCTACTCACCTTAAGACAGTAGTTTCCTGAGAGCACAGAGCAGTCTCCGCAGTCCCGAGTGTGGTGAGGTTGCTGAGGAGTCTGATTTCAGATGGCTAAATAACCTCACCCTGAATGAAGTACAACTCCAGATGTCAAATGGCGACAGCGAGTCAGTCTCATACTCATAAGATAAACTAACCAAGGCTTGCTGTTAATTAAATCTGACCCTTGGCTTGCTAATGTAAGGATGGGCTGGCCCTCTCCAGGAAAATCCAATTCCAACATACCCCAATACCAGGAGCATTACTTTTCCCCTCAAAATGCCCTTCTTGGATACGTGAGGAATTCACAATCCTCTTTTCCATAATGACTGCATTTCTTATAAACTTTATTTTCTTGCCTTATGGTCAAACTGATTAAGATTGATTTATAAGGTTTTATTAAGAATTGAGTTTGACATCAATAGCACAAAAATGTAAAGGCTGAAATTTGTTTGGCTTTCTCTTTTAAACAAGATTTCCACGTTGGCTTTTTTTTTTTTTTTTTTTGAGATGGAGTCTCACTCTGTCACCCAGGCTGGAGTGTAGTGACACAATCTCAGCTCACTGAAACCTCCACCTCCTGGGCTCGAGCGATTCTCCCGCCTCAACCTCCTGAGTAGCTGGGATTACAGGTGCCTGCCACCACGCCTGGCTAATTTTTTTGTATTTTTAGTAGAGATGGGGTTTCACCATGTTGGCCAGGCTGGTCTCAAACTCTTGACCTCAGGTAATCCATCCACCTCAGCCTCCCAAAGTTCTGGGATTACAGCCGTGAGCCACCAGACCCAGCCAATTTTCATGTTATATTAAAAAAATGAAAGATTTTTGTTTGCCTGAATAAACTATAGACAAAGAAAGGGAAAGGAAAGAGATTGCATGGAAAGCTACGTCTTCCCTCTGTTAATGAGTGAAAGTTTTGCCTTTTAAAAAATTCTGAGTTTTTGTTTCGGTGAAGTAAATGACTTATGGTGACCTGCAATTTGGTTTTATAATATCAAATGTTTTAAATCTTTGATATTTGACAAACTTTCCAAAATCAAATTATAAATTATGTCTTCTTCTGATCTCCTAATTAATCTTTTAGCTATTAGGTCTCCTAAAGTCCAAAAATGACATATCTGGCTTATTTGGTATAACAATCATACAGGAAGCGTGGTTAAATATGAAACAGTGGGGTGTTTGGCTTTCTTTGGGCTGTATTTGTATAATTAAAGTTATTGGTATGTGCTCCAAAATTATGGGAAACTCATATAATCATGATATGACTTAGTGTATATTATTAATAGTTACAATTGTTATATAAAATTGTTGTATGCCATAGAAGGAACCAAAATTCCTAGCCAACTGTGGTGGTAATAGTGGCTGTTCCAAGACTTTCAGTCATCCACAGGCAATTGTTACCTTGTTTTGATCCTCTTTAAAAGGTGACCCTTAATTAGCTATAGGACTTTGACAGATGCTTTTAAATGCCGGTTTCTGATAACTTTGAACATTGTGACATTGGATTAGAGAAAATCTTTCAGGACTCTTATGGAGAGCTGCAATGTTCACGAGCATCAAACAGGAGTTAACTGCATGAACTAAACTAATAGAAGTCTGAAACAATCTTTTTGACTTTTTGCTTAAAACGTTGCTGATCTTTTACAGAGACAAAAAACTGTTATTTTAAGCTATTTACAACTTTTGATAATTGAGTAACGTGTACTCCTGTAAACAAAATTTGGAGTATATTTGCTTCTCTCTACCTGATTGCTCCAGAATTTGGAAAACCGTGTATTCTTAGTTTATAGCAATAGAGTTATTTGTGTAAGTACAGTAAGAATCCATTTTATCAAGCCTATAATCCCAGCACTTTGGGAGGCCGAGGCGGGTGGATCACGAGGTCAAGACATCGAGACCATCCTTGTCAACAAGGTAACCTCGTCTCTACTAAAAATACAAAAATTAGCTGGGCATGATGGTGCACGCCTGTAGTCCCAGCTACTCAGGAGGCTGAGGCAGGAGAATTGCTTGAACCCAGGAGGCAGAGGTTGCGGTGAGCCGAGATCGTGCCATTGCACTCCAGTCTGGGTAACAATAGTAAAACTCCATCTCAAAAAAAAAAAAAAATATCCATTTTATTTTGCAACTGGACACAATTGGAGACTAGGCTCCACAGCTATTTTACCAAGGCTTTGACTGTAATGATATACTTTCCTTTAAGGAATGAAACTTGACTTACAGAGCCAATAAAAGCCCCTTGGGAAAACTAGCCTCATACCTTGTCTACACAGTCACTGTACAGGGTTCCTGACCAAAGAATGTCACTTTGTGATGGGCCCAGAAGCCCCAACTTATCTTGAAATCTCTTAAGAAGAATTCACCCAAACTCATAGGTATTTGTTACCAATCCATGGCTGGACTCAGCTTTAAAAAAGTCTGGGCTGGGCGCGGTGGCTCACGCCTATAATCCCAGCACTTTGGGAGGCCAAGGCAGATGAATTACCAGGTCAAGAGATTGAGACCATCCTGGTCAACATGATGAAACCCCATCTCTACTAAATATACAAAAATTAGCTGGGGATGGTGGCACATGCCTGTAGTCCCAGCTACATGGGGGGCTGAGGCAGGAGAATTGTTTGGACCCAGGCGGCAGAGGTTGTAGTAAGCCAAGATCATGCCACTACACTCTAGCCTGGCAACAGAGCGAGACTCCATCTAAAAAAAAAAAAAAAAAAAAAAAGGCTTATCTGAGATCCTTTTATAAAAGAAAGTTCCACCAAAGCCAATTTAAAAAGCCTATGTGAAATAGAATCATTCGTACTGCACTGTATACAAATAATCAGGCCAAGTATAATAAACCAAATCTGTCATAATTATGATATATTTTAAATAAAAATGAGGACTGAAGAGAGAAAAGTTATGCTTCAAAAACTATGGTACACCTGTTATTAAATTCTAGTCTCATCAGTTGTTTTTGAATGTTTTTCTGCAATTTAAACTGACCCTGCTTTTTCCTGTGAACCAATCAGCGATCTCTGGCTGCACCTCAGAGGAAACAAGAGGGATGGGTAATGTAAAAATCTGGATCAACAGTCTAATTCTGGGCACATAGTGGAATCAGCTAGAGACCCCATATCAGCTTGGTTCCAACAATTGCCCAGTTCCTGGAAAGCCTTCTTATTTCGTTTACTTGGAATAATTTTGCTATTTTATTTTATTGTTGTGGAATATATTGCTGTTGTACTCTTTGTATAGAAATGTAGGATGAGCTTACTCAATGTTTTCTTAAATTGAACACTTAACTAATCTTCCAGATAACACCTTTTCATGGAACTCAAGAGTTATGAATGGTCCTTGCCATACCAACACTTTCTGACTGAGTTCCACTCTACCCTAAATACAAGAGACCCTAATAGTTAGGCAGAAATATCATTGCCCCTATTCAGCCTGAAGAAGTTACAGAAGATGGATCTACATACCTCTACAACCCTTAGGATTAAGGGTTCCCTTGTAAAAGGAAGGGGGGAAAATATGTCAATAGCAGTTGAACCAGAGTGACTTCATCTTGAATAGGAGCTGGGTAAAGTACTGAGACCTACTGGGCTGCATTCCCAGGAGGTTATGCATTCTTAGTCACAGGAAGAGATGGGAGATGGGCACAAGATACCGTTCACAAAGACCTTGCTGATAAAATAGCATGCAGTAAACAAGATGGGTCAAACTCACGCAAAGCAAGATGGTGACTAGAGTGACCTCTGGTCATCCTCATTGCTCATTATATACTAATTATAATGCATTAGCATGCTAAAGACACTCCCAACAACACCATGACCATTTACAAATGCCATGGCAACATCAGGAAGTTACCCTATATGGTCTAAAAGGGGAAGGAACCCTCAGTTCCAGAAACTGCCCACCCGTTTCCTCAAAAACTCATGAATAATACACTTGTTTAGCATATAATCAAGAAATAACTACAAGTATTATCAGTCAAGCAGCCCACGCTGCTGCTCTGACAATGGAATAGCCATTCTTTTATTCCCTTACTTTCTTAATAAATTTGCTCTCACTTTATGGATTCACCTTAAATTTTTTCTTGGGTGATAACCGAGAGCCCTCTCTTGGGATCTGGATCAGGACCTCTTTCCAGTAACAGCTGCAGTGGGTCATGACCCAACCACTGCACTCCAGCCTAGCCGACAGAGCAAACTGTCTGTAAAAATAAAAGTAAAAAGAGCACCATGAACAAAGTCCCTCTTGGTTAAAAATTGATTTAACATGAAGGTTAAGAGACAGGTGACCTACTGAGGGGAAAACAAAACAAACAAAATAATTCCTTTGCACAATTATCCCCAACTCAAAGATAGTTTTTCTTATAAATCAATTTTTAAAAGGAACTGCCTTTATAAAGGAACTCTGAAGACTAGAAGAGACAGCTCCCAAATGACAGAATTACACATGACTAACGAACATTTAAAAAGATGGCCAATCTTACTAATAGTAAAAGAATTGCTTACAGGAGGTAACATTTTGTATGTGTGTCCCTGCATCTATTAGCCAGAGTACAGTTGCAGATAACAGAAGTCACTCTAGACAACTTAAGCAGAGTGGGTTTTGACACAGGGAATTAGGTGACTATAAGATTGTTCTAGGACTGGAGGAGGAGGGTCTAGGCTAATATTCCAGGAATGGCCCCACCCCCAGAATGGGGCCCCACCCTAGAAGTGGGCCACCAGTAATGCTTCAGCCAGTGCCATGATCACAAGACTGGGATATTGGGAAGTCAATGCCACACCTGTTGGCTCTGGGGCATCTACACCAGTAAAATGATGCCCCACTTCTGCATCTCACACAATAAGGTAAGAACTGGATTCTGGGACTCTGCTTCTGCTACTGCAGAAAACCAAGTCCCCACTACAATTTTTGGCAGTAGAAGAAGTAGAAGCACAGCCGCCGTGTCCCTTCCACTTTCACATCCTTGCACAGGGGAGTCAGCTTGACACAATTCAGGTCATTTGCAGAACCAGCTTATGGGGAAACCAGGGGCATAGAGTCATCAGCTTTCTATCCTTGAGGGTTCACAGCAGAGTACGAAACAGAGCTGAGTGACTGCATCCTTATGATCTGCCTCAGGAAGCAAATGTTTGCATGGGGCAAGGAACAGTGATTCTCATTCACTGCTGGTTATCGTGTGTTCTAACCCAAACTTTCTAGTCAGCTTTGACACCATGTGGTGAAAGTTCATTTGATTCAAAAATTTTACTTCTTTGAATTCATCACAAGAAAAGAACCAGAGATGTGCACAAATATCTGCACACGAATATTGATCGCAGTATCAATATTTTATAGTGTCAATATTGATGACACTATAAAAGCAGTCAGAGTCAAAATGGAGTTGCTTGTGTTTAAAAAAACAACACCCAAACTCTGACAAACAGAGCTGGGGAAGCCCACGAAGAGGGTTCTCACGCTTTTGTATGCCTGAGAACAAAACTATCATCTGCAAAAATTGCAATATTGCACAAATACCATCACAATCTTACACAAAAAATACTTCTGTGAGTGTATCCGCCCAGAAACTGCCTGCCCAACCTTGGACTGGTGTCACCCTTGCTATTAATTCTTGCAGCTAAAGATGATTATTTCAAAACAATTACATAATTGTCTTCATTTTTCCTCTAAAAGCCTGTCTTCCTCTACATCCTTGAATATGTACATAGTTTACTATGGCATGAATTTTCCCACTGCAATGCCCTATTCTCAAATAAATATCATTTTCTTTCTATATATACCACAAATTTACCTCTGAGAATAATGATATTATATATAAGTCATTTATACATCAAACTATGTTTGAGACAAAATAATCTATCAAATCTTCTGGAATGACAGCTTTTAAAGATCCTTTTATGCTTCTAGTCTAGTTCAAAAGGCTTAGAGGTCCTCTTCCTGCCACTTGCTGATGCTTTTGGTAACGTTATTCAGTAATTTGTTCACATTTTATTACTGACTGTCATTTTCTTTTTTTTCTTTTTTTTTTTTTAATTGTACTTTAGGTTCTGGAGTACATGTGCAGATCATGCAAGATTGTTGCATAGGTACATACATGGCAAGGTGTCTCTCCTCATTATCCCCCCCACCCTCCCCTTCCCCCACGCTCCCACCCCTAGCCCCTCCCAACTGACTGCAGTATGTGATGCTCTCCTCTCTGTGTCCACATGTTCTAATTGTTCAACATCTGTCTATGAGTGATAACATGCGGTGTTTGGTTTTCTGATCTTGTGTCAGTTTGCTGAGAATGATGGTTTCCAGATTCATCCATGTCTCTCTGAAGGACATGAACTCATCATTTTTTATGGCTGCATAGTATTCCATGGTGTATATGTGCCACATTTTCTTTATCCAGTCTATCGTTGATGGTAATTTGGGTTGGTTCCAGGTCTTTGCTATTGTAAACAGTGCCACAATGAACATATGTGTACATGTGTCTTTATAACAGAACAATTTATAATTCTTTGGGTATATATCAGTAATGGGATTGCTGGGTCAAATGGAATTTCTATTTCTAGGTCCTTGAGGAATCGCCACACTGTCTTCCACAATGGTTGAACTAATTTGCACTTCCACCAACAGTGTAAAAGTGTTCCTATTTCTTCACATCCTCTCCAGCATCTGTTGTCTCCAGATTTTTTAATGATCACCATTCTAACTGGCATGACATGGTATCTCAATGTGGTTTTGATTTGCATCTCTCTAATGACCAGTGATGATGAGCATTTTTTCATATGTTTGTTGGCTTCATAGATGTTTTCTTTTGTAAAGTGTCCGTTCATATCCTTCACCCACTTTTGAATGAGTTTGTTTTTTTCTTGTAAATCTGCTTTAGTTCTTTGTAGATTCTGGATATTAGCCCTTTGTCAGATGGGTAGATGGCAAAAATTTTTTCCCATTCTGTTGGTTGCTGGTTCACTCTAACGATTATTTCCTTTGCTGTACAGAAGCTCTGGAGTTTCATTAGATCGCATTTGTCTATTTTGGCTTTTGTTGCCATTGCTTTTGGTGTTTTAGCCATGAAGTCCTTGACTATGCCTATTGTCCTGAATGGTTTTGCCTTGGTTTTCTTCTAGGGTTTTTATGGTGTTAGGTCTTACTTTTAGATCTTTAATCCATCCGGAATTAATTTGAGTGTAAGGTGTCAGTAAGGGGTCAGTTTTCCCAACATCATTTTAAATAGGGAATCCTTTCCCCATTGCTTGTTTTTCTCAGGTCTGTCAAAGATCAGATGACTGTAGATGTGTGGTGTTGCTTCTGAGGCCTCTGTTCGGTTCCATCGGTCTGTATCTCTGTTTTGGTACCAGTACCATGCTGTTTTGATTACTGTGGCCTTGTAGTATAGTCTGAAGTCAGGCAACATGATGCCTCCAGCTTTGTTCTTTTTGCTTAGGATTGTTTTGGCTATGCAGGCTCTTTTGGTTCCATATGAAGTTTGAAGTGGTCTCTTCCAGTTCTGTGAAGGAGGTCATTGGTAGCTTGATGGGGATAGCACTGAATTCTATAAATTACTTGGAGCTGTATGGCTATTTTCATGGTGTTGATACTTCCCAACCATGAGCATGGAATGTTTTTCCATTGTTTGTGTCCTCTCTTATTTCATTGAGCAGTGATTTGTAGTTCTCCTTGAAGAGGTCCTTTACATCCTTTGTTAGTTGTATTCCTAGGTATTTTATTCTCTTTGTAGCAATTGTGAACAGGAGTTCACTTCTGATTTGGCTCTCTGTTTGTCTGTTATTGGTGTATGGAAATGATTGTGATTTCTGCACACTGATTTTGAATCCTGAGACTTTGCTGAAGTTGCTTATCAGTTTCAGGAGATTTTGGGCTGAGACAATGGGGTCTTCTAAATAGACAATCATGTCATCTGCAAATAGAGACAATTTGCTTCCTCTTCTCCTAACTGAATACCCTTTATTTCTTTTTCTTGCTTGATTACCCTGGCTAGAGCTTCCAATACTATATTGAATAGGAGTGGTGAGAGAGGGCATCCTTGTCTTGTGCCAGATTTCAAAGGGATTCAGTAGAGCTGCTGCGTCTTTTATTTACTCAGGAAAATTAGGCCAGCTTCTGCAATGGTGGCTGCCCTTTCCCCCCACCCTCGAGCTCGATCATTCCTGGTTGCTCTCTGATATTCTGGGTGTGAAACTCTGGAGTGAGAGTTTTTTTAGCCTGCTGGGCTTTGTGCATGGGGGACCCATCCTGCCATATGTGCTGTTTCCCTGATTTTTAGTTCCCCTTCTTTCTGGGGAGCTGATGGCTCTGTCCAGCCAGCTTTCTGGCTTTCATGTCAGCCATTGCTTTTGCCTAGATCTATGCTGACAGCCCTGGTGCTGGCCAAAGTTGCTATTCTGCCCTGTTCAGGCAGCTCGCTGAGGCTCTTCAGTCTGGTGAAGATCACCTGTTCTGTGGGTTGTAGAGGGCTTGGGTGGAGGGCTGTATCCGAACTGAAGTCCCGGAGTGGGAGATCCCCCAGTCCTCCAGTTGGTTGCACACACCTACTGGGTGGGGCAGTGCCCCACCTTGCCTCAACTTGCCCTATTTGGTTTATACCCACTGTCCAACCAGACCCACAAAATGAAACTGGTACCCCGTTTGGAATTGTGGAGACCACTCAGCTTCTACGTCTCTCTTGCTGGGAGCTGCTTTCCAGAGCTGTCTCTTATTGGGCCATCTTGGGATCCTCCTTGACTCAATATCATTTTCTTTCAGGGGGATTTTCTCAGTTTGTTATTTAGTTTGACACAGCAAAAGTTTAAAGTAGCAAAAGTTGAATAAATAATTTTTTTTGACATGGAGTCTCATTCTATTGCCCAGGCTGGAGTGCAGTGGCACGATCTCAGCTCACTGCAACTTCCACCTCCCAGGTTCAAGTGATTCTCCCACCTTAGCCTCCCAATAGCTGGCATTACAGGTGTGTGCCACCATGTCCAGCTAATTTTTGTACTTTTAGTAGAGACAGGGTTTCACCATGTTGGTCAGGCTGACCTTGAACTCCTGACCTCGTGATCCACCCACCTCAGCCTCCCAAAGTGCTGGGTTTACAAGTGTGAGCAACCTCGCCTGGCCAAAGAAATAAATTTTATACCTCCATATAAAGAATTATATATAGCCACTGATGATAGAGGCAGAAATGGCTTTACCTTGAAGCAAAAGAATTCTGAGTTCAGGGACCCTTGCTTGCGCTGGCACCTTCCAAGACCCTAAGAGCAGCTCGAGCCATTGCTCACATTATTGTTGTTGTTGTTGTTGTTATTTGCAAAAGTAAGTTCTTCTAAGAGCAACTGATTAAGGCTGCTGTCTTTTAATTGCTTTCCAATCTGGCTTCTCTCTGCCATACTTCTCCTGGTTGGGGTGACACTGTAGCGTTACTGGTATTTTGTATTATAACTCTCTTTGTTTAAGCTCTGTGCCTCACCAATTATGTAAGCTTCAGGTACCTAAATAGCCTGGATCTGTCCCTGGTTATAGATTCATATTTATTGGCAATGGAGAATGGTTCATTAGGTATTGTTGAGTGAAAGATGCAACTTCTGAAACAGTGGTAAAGGAAGACTTCATTATATTAGGCCATTCTTGCATTGCTATAAAGAAATATCTGAGACTGGGTAATTTATTTAAAAATAGCAGTTTGATTGGCTCGCAGTTCTGCAGGCTTTACAAGAAGCATGGTGCTGGCATTTGCTCAGCTGCTAGGTAGGCCTCAGGAGGCTTACAATCATGGCAGAAGGTGGAAGGGGAGCAGGCACATCACAAGGTGAAAGCAAGAGCCAGAGGGAGTTGAGGGGAGGTGACACACACTTTTAAACCACCAGAATTTGCATGAACTCAGAGTGAGAGCTCACTTATTACAAAGGGGATGGCCCAAGCCATATGTGAAGAACCTGCCCCCATGATCCAAACACCTTCCACCAGGCCCCAGCTCCAGCACTGGGGATTACAATTCAACTATGAGATTTGGGTGGGGACGAATATCCAAACTGTATCACCCATGTAGAATGCTTACATATACGTATGTTTTTTGGTGCTAGGTGAATTATAATGGCTCAGGCATAAGTCACTTTTACAATAAATGAAAATGCCAGAATGGTTCCCATTTAAGAAATAGTTGCAAATTAATTTTTTAATTAAAATATAAATGTATTCTTGGTAGGGACAAAAACTAACTGGAAATGGGGATGAATGAATTTCTGGGGTGATGAAAATGTTCTTTATCTTGTTTTGTGCATTGCTTATATAATGATACACAAATGTTAAAATTCATTGAACTGAAAAGCTGCACTTTGCATTTATTGTGCATTAATTATATCACCATACAATATATACAATCATCACATTGAAACTGAAATACTGAAAAGAGAAAATTACATTCAGTTTCATCACCTTGAAACAACTACTTAACACTGTGGAATATTTTGCTGAAATGTGTTTCCTCCCCCAACTTGCCACCTTTTCATATGTATATTTATAGGAAAGGTATGTGTGTGTATGCTTAGAAGAAAATGTGTGATGACAAAAGGAATTGTTAAGGTCAACTGAGCTTACCATATGCCAGCACTGTAGCAAGAACTTTATATGCATTTACATTAAATCTTCCCAGCAATGTTATTCTCATTTTACAGATGAGGAAACAGATGCAGGAAGAGTAAGTAATCTGCCAGAGTCACACAGCTAATACTGCAGAGCTCTCACACCTGACTCCAGGCAATCTGATTCTCTCACCCTTTTAGAAGCCCTCCCTGGCTAGATGAATCATTTTCTTGCTGGGGAAGTTTATGAGCTCAACTGTTTCAGCTTCTCCAAATGCATTATTGGTTCCCCTCAGTCCACATTTACCCTTCAGTCTTTTTGGAAAGCCAATCAACACTCATAAGTACACCCACTCTAGCCACTGGCAATGGAGGTTTCTGTATGGGTCCCTTGGAAACTGGGTCCCATTCCTAACAGGGTTTCTTGATCTTGATTATTTCTTCCCCCTTCACACAGGGTCTCACTTTGTCACCCAGGCTGAGTATAGTGGCATGAATATGGCTCACTGCAGTCTCGACTTCTTAGGTTCAAGCAATCCTCCCATTTCAGCCCCCTAAGTAGCTGGGACTAATGGTGCATGCCACCAAGACTGGCTAATTTTTGTATTTTTTTCTAGAGATGGGATTTTACCATGTCGCTTGGGCTGATCTTGAACTCCTGAGCTCAAGCGATCCATCTGCCTGGGCCTCCCAAAGTGCTGGAATTACAGGTGTGAGCCACTGCACCCAGTTAACATTATGGAGCTCCAAGTCAGGTCTGAGTCAGGTATGAGGTCTGTTGACACTAGCTGTGTGACTCTGGCAAATTAATCTTCCTGATCTGTTTTCTCATCTATAAAATGAGAATAACATTAAAACAGTTTATTTTAACTATTTTAAAAAATCAGAATAATTGAGAAGAAGGAAAAAAAATCCCTATATTCCAACTACTGTAATGGAACCTTTGCCATCATTTTGCTCTTGGTTGGCCTCTCCCCCTCCCCTATTTTTAAAAATTAAAATAGAATCTAATTCTTTCTTTCTTCTTTTTTTTTTTTAAAGATGATGTCTTGCTATGTTGCCCATGCTGGACTCATACTCCAGAGCCGAGGTGATCCTCCCTCTTCAGCCTCCTAGATCATTGGGACTACAGGGATGCACCACTACACCTGGCTTAAACCAATTTCTTTTTAATTCATAATTTTAAAATCAAAACAATTTATTCAACTCTTTATTTTGAAAAGTTTTAAACCTCAAAAAAGCTGAAAAAATAGTACAATGAACACTCACTCACATACCCTTACTTTAGCACCAATAATTCACCAATTATTAACATTTTGTCTTGTGCCCCCCTCTGTCATAATATACTTTTCTTTTTTTTTCTGCAATCAGCTGATTGATTAGGGTGGTGGTTGCTGAAAGGGGAGGTGCTGCAGCAATTTCTTAAAATAAGACAACAGTGAAGTCTGCTGCATCAATTGACTCTTCCTTCCATGAAAGATTTCTCGGAGCATGTGATGCTGTTTGCTACCATTTTACCCACAGTAGCATGTTCAAAATTGTAGTCAATCCTCTCAAACCCTGCCACTGCTTTAGCAACTAAGTTTATGAAATATTCTAAATCCCTCATTGTCATTTCAACAGTGTTCCCAGCATCTTCACCAGGAGTAGTTTCCATCTCAAGAAACCACTTTCTTTGGTCATATATTAGAAAAAAACTGGTCATCCATTCAAGTTTCTCATGAGATTGCCACAGTTCAGTCCTATCTTCAGGCTCCACTTCTACTTTTAGTTTTCTTGCTATTTACAACCACATCTGCAGTAACCTCCTTCATTGAAGTCTTAAACTCCTCAAAGTCATCAATGAGAGCTGGAATCAACTTCTTCCAAACTCCTGTTAATTGTGATACTTTGACCACTTTCCATGAATCACAAATGTTCTTAATGATATCTGGAATAGTGAATCCTTTCCAGAAGGTTTTCAATTTACTTTTCCCAGATCCATCACAAGAATAACTATCTATGGCAGCTATGGCCCTACAAAATGTATTTCTTAAATAATAAGACTTGAAAGGCAAAATTACTTCTTGATCCATGGGCTGCAGAATGGATCTTGTGTTAGCACACATGAAAACAACATTCATCTCCTTATACATCTCCATTAGAGTTCTTGGGTGACTAGACACTTTTTCAGTCAGCAATAATACTCTGAGAGAGATCTTTTTACTAAGCAGTAGCCCTCAACAGTGGGCTTAAAATATTCAGTAAACCATGCTGTGAACAGATGTGCTGTTATCCAGGCTTTGTAATTCCACTTACAGAGCACCAGCAGATTATATTTAGGGTAACTCTTAAAGGTTTTTATAATACAATGGTAAACGAGCACTTGTTTCAATTTAAAGTCACTAACTGCATTAGCCTCTAACAAAAGAGTGAGCCTGGCCTTTGAAGCCAGACATTGACCTCTCTAGCTACGAATCCGCATCTTCTTCCAATAGAAGGCTGTTTTGTCCACATTGAATATCTGTTATTCAGTGGCCACCTTCATCAATGATCTTAGCTAGATCTTCTGGATAACTTGCTGCAGTTTCTCCATCAGCATTTGCTACCTCATCTTACCCTTTTATGCTCTGGAGATGGCTTTTTTCCTTAAACCTCATAAAATAATCTCTTCTAGCTTCAAACTTCTATAGCTTCCCTGCCTCTCTCAGCCATCATAGAATAGAACAGAATCAGGGCCTTGCTCTGGATTCAGTTTTGGTTTGAGGGGATGTTGTAGCTGGTTTTATTTTCTATCGAAACCACTAAATTTTTCTCCAAATAGGCAATAAACTGTTTCACTTTCGCATTTATGTGTTCACTATAGTAAAATGTTTAATTTCCTTCAACAACTTTTCCTTTGCATTCACAAACTGGCTTTTTGGTACAAACTTTCAGCTTAGCTTTCAGCCTATCTTGCCTTCTGACATGTCTTCCTCACTAAGCTTAACCATTTCTAGTTTTAGAGTTAAAGTGAGAGACTCGCGACTCTGTCTTTCACTTGAACACTTAGAGGCCCATTGTAGGGTTATTAATTGACCTAATTTCAATACTGTTGGGTCTCAGGGAATAGAGAGGCCCAAGGAAAGGGAGAAAGAAGCAGGAACGGCCTGTCAGTGAATTAGAACACATACAACATTTATCAATTAAGTTTGTCATCTTATAGGGGCACAGTTCATGGCGCCCCAAAACAATTACAATAAAAGAACACTCCTCACAGGTCACCCTTATAGCAGAGCGCATCTCCCTGTGATCTTTTTTTATCCTATTTTTTTACGAGCATTTTACCTAGGATGCACGCGTTCCCTTACTTTCGGGAATGCCCTACTCTTGTCAACCCGGTAGCTGACTACACCAAGAATACAAGAAAACTTACGCTACTGAGCAGGAGCCGGCAAAGTCTCTAGTCTTTGGGAACACAGTACTTGGCCCGCTCCGCCTTTTCCTAAGCTGGGAGGAGCAAAGCTGGAAGAGGAGAGGTCCGCGGCCAAACTCAGCTCTCCCACTGGCCAGACAGAGTTCCGCAAGGCAGCCAATCAGATAGCTTCATTTGCCAGAGGGGCGGGACTTCCTCCGCAGCACGCACGAGTTCGTGCGTGGAGGTCCCGCCCCGGAACTGCGGTCTCTGCTGCGGCTGAGGTACGGCGGTCGTTTCTGAGGCGCTTGAACAGCCACCAAAGCTATACAGTGGCGTCTCCACAGAGTGAGTACCAAAACGAGCCGGGCTGGAGCCGACTCCGGAGAGGGGCTGAGGCCAGGAACCCGGGTCCCTAATTGCGGGTCTCTCTGGGCCGCTGGGTTCCCCGGGTCCTTGGGCCGCTGGCCCAAGCCGTCCAACCGAGCTGCGTGCGACGGCCCCCGCGCCCTGGGCTCCTTGTCCGGGCATCGGGGCCTGAAGGCCTCTGCTTCTCAGTTTCCCGGTTTCGTGCCCCCGTTCGTGCCTGAGACAAAGCGAGAGCGCCGCGCGGGACCAGCGTCACGAGGAGAGAGAGGCCCCTCTGCTCTGCTTAGAGCTCCCGTGTCCTCGCCCGGTTCGCGTGGCACCCCCCCCCCCGCCCTCTCCTCGTTGAACCCCGCGTGTTTTTTGCCGTGGCGCAGCGGGTCCGGCGGGCACTGAGCGAACGTGCTCTCCTCGCCGGGCGCCATGCTTAGCGGTTTTTGACGTGCGTCACTTTTTCGTAGTGGCGTTTAAGGATCCTGTGGGACAAATGTCCTCGTTATCCCCATCGTGCAGACGAGGAAATAGAGACTCAGAGATTAATACGTCCACCGCACACCCACAGCTGACAAGTGGGGAATCCGGATTTGAACCAAGGTTTGCCTTGGTCTTTTTGTCTTTCTTGGCCTTTCTGAAAAGGAAAAACCTGGATCGAGTTCCAACCAAACAGGTTGGGCCTAAATGGCCATTAAGCCACGTAAAATGTGATGAAAACGCTGGATGGGTTTTAAAACGCTTGGCAAAGGCCCGCATGGTGGAGCAGACGTTTACTTTCTCTGGCAAGGCTTGGGAAGGAAGCAAGCGCAGAGTAGCTTTTAATAAAGCTCACCTCTCCTGCCCCCACAGTAAAATCTCCTCGGATTCTTACTCTGCCTTCATAATGACTTACGTGTGGCGGGCTTCATCCTCCGTGCTTTACATAATTTCCTTTGTTTACATAAAATACACAACTTAGATATTGTTAGGTCCCCTCCCTCATTTTTATAGATGGGAGCACTGAAGTTCAGAGAGGAGTGGGTGGCATTATCCAAGGTCGCACACAGCAAGTGTTGGATTTGGAATTCAAACCAGGTCTAGCTTATCTGTCCTTGTTCCATCAACTGTGTACCCTGTGTTCCAGGCAAAGCTGCCTGTATTGTGGTATTTCCTCCTTTGTTCTTCTCTAGGAGGGAGCATCTTTGTATCCTCAGTTCTTTGTAGGGCGTAGTTGCTTAGAAAATATTTGTTGCATCAGAACCTTCTGCTTCCCAGAGACCAACCTAATAGAACATTTATCTCCTTTTCAGCAACAATGAAGTTGAAAGACACAAAATCAAGGCCAAAGCTATCAAGTTATGGCAAATTTCAGACAAAGGGAATCAAAGTTGTGGGAAAATGGAAGGAAGTGAAGATTGACCCAAATATGTTCGCAGATGGACAGATGGATGATTTAGTGTGCTTTGAGGAACTGACAGATTACCAGTTAGTCTCTCCTGCCAAGAATTCCTCCAGTCTCTTCTTAAAGGAGGCACCCAAGAGAAAGGCACAAGCTGTTTCAGAAGAAGAGGAGGAGGGAGGGTCTAGCTCACCAAAGAAAAAGATGAAGTTGAAGAAAAGTAAAAATGTAGCAACTGAAGGAACCAGTACCCAGAAAGAGTTTGAAGTCAAAGATTCTGAGCCGGAGACCCAGGAAGAAGAGGGCATGGTTTGTCATGATCCAGAGGTTGGGGAGATGACATCAGGAAACCTGGTCCAAACTGCTCCAAAAAAGAAGAAAAAGAAAGGGAGAAAAGGGATGGAGCCTTTTCAGAGCATTGCTGCTAAGGTGCCCAGAAAAGCGAAGACATGGATTCCTGAAGTTCGTGATCAGAAGGCAGATGTGTCAGCTTGGAAGGACCTGTTTGTCCCCAGGCCGGTTCTCCGAGCACTCAGCTTTCTAGGCTTCTCTGCCCCCACACCAATCCAAGCCCTGACGTTGGCACCTGCCATCCGTGACAAACTGGACATCCTTGGAGCTGCTGAGACAGGTAAGGGCAACTTTGGCCAGGGCAGGATTGCTTCTGGATTGAGCCCATAGCTGCTAATAGGCTAGATAACTGGGAGAGAGAAGACTGTTGAGAACATAGCCACAAAAGCAATGCTGAATGAAGCTGTTTAGAAGTCAACCAGCTCTGGTTTGAAATACGCTTTTCCTGAATGGTATCCTAGCTAGATCACTTTTATCTTTCTCAGCTCTATAGATCCCATTGTCAACCAAATGGAGATAACAGTACCTACCTCTTGCATTGCTGTGAGGGTTAAATGCTACAGTAAACTAAAGCTTACACAGTACATTTTAAGTGGTCTGCAAGTGGTAGTTTTTCCTGTTCTTGAACCTTTTCTAAATAGCTCAAAAGGGTAAAGGGCTAAAATCAGCCCTCTGGAGAGGTAGATCTTCATGAGTATAAGGAAGAACTGTCTAATTCTCAGGAGTCGTCCAAAGGTAAAAAAGGGTTGCTGCTTTGGGATTTGATGAGTTTCTTGTCGTTGGAAAGATTTGAGTGTGGTGGATAGTCATTGGGTGGATTTTGTAAATAGATTCAACTGTAAAGTGACTGGGTTAGGACTAGGCTATGTTCCTGCGAGACTTTTGGACGTAATGACAGGTTGCTTTTGCTGGATAGACTAGACTACTGACTTGGAGGAGGAACTAGTACTGCCTGGGACTATTAGTCTGTTTAGACCAGCAGTGTCCATTAGAAATACATATAGTCATCTCTTGATGCCCATAGAGGTTTGGTTCCAGGACCTCCCTTGGAGACCAAAATAGAGGGATGTTCAAGTCTCTGATATAAAATGGTATAGTGCTTTCATATGAGCTATGCACATCCTCCTGTATATTTTAAATCATCTCTAGATTACTTATAATAGCTCATACAACGTAAATCTTATGTAAATTGTTATACTGTATTGTTTGGGGAATAATGACAAGAAAAGTCTTTACAGTGTTTAGTACAGATGCAGTTTTTTTTCCCCGAATATTGTCTATCCACAGTTGGTTGAATCCACAGATGCAGAGTCCATGGTTATAGAAGGGTGACTGTATAATGTGAAATACATATGTAATTTAAAATTTACTAGGAGCCACATTTTTTTAAAGTTAAAAAAAAATCTGTGAGATATTTTACTTTTTTTTCCTTTAAGTTTCAAAATCTGGTGTGTTTTAAATTTGCAGCACATGTCAGTTTCGAGTGACTTCATTTTAAGTGTTGAGTAGACGTGCTTTGGTTGTCTGGAACAGTGGTCAGGAAACTCAGGATGAGGTTCTATGATAATCATATAGATGGAAGAGTGAGGAAACTACAGGAAAGGGGAATGGAGATAATAACTTAGAACATTTACTGAGCATTGAAAATGTGTGAGGTACTGTGTTAAGTGCTTTATGTTGATGAAATCAGTTCTCACAACCACCCTGAGGTAAGTACCATTATTCCCATTTTACAGATGAGAAAACTCAACCTCACACAGCATAGACAGCGTCCCTAAAATTACACAGCTGAAAATGGTAGTGTCTGGATTCTAGGCTAGTTCTGTGTATTGTTAAGCATTCTGCTACACTGCTTTATTGTGTGCAGAGTCCTTGAAGTAGGTCCCTGGAAGGCAAAAACAAGTTTTAGATGACCCATGTGGCCAGAGATTGACATTTGGATTTATACCACAGCTCCTGTCAGGCTTTCCCCATGAGATACTGTGAATCTACAAGTCCGGAATTTGAAATGACTTGGATAAGCCATGCATTTGGGTCTGTAAACAGACCACTGCTCATGCAATAATGAATAGACCCTTAAACAATGTGGAGACTAGGGACACCAGTACCCCATGCAGTCGAAAATCCATGTATAATTTTGAACACCACCCCCAAAACTTAAATACTAATAGCCTGTTATTAACCGGAAACCTTACAGATAACATAAGCAGTCTATTTAGCTCATATGTTGTATTATATACTTTATTCTTACAGTAACATAAACTAGAGAAAAGAAAATGTTATTAAGAAAATCGTAAGGAACAGAAAATGTATTTACTATTCATTAAATGGAAGTGGATCATCATAAAGGTGTTCATCCGCATCTTCATTTTGATTAGGCTGAGTAGAAAGAGGAGGGCTTGGTCTTGCTATCTCAGCGAAGGCTGAGGTATAAGAAATTCAGTCTATAAGTGGACCCACACATTCAAATTTGTGTTCAAGGGTCAACTGGATATCTATTACCCTCAAAAAGATGCCCCAGGTTTTTTTATACTCCCCCCTCCTTCCTCTATTCTTCTTCTTCCCCGGGCAACCACTGATAGGCTTTCTATCACTATAGATTAATTTGCATTTTCTAGAATTTTATATAATGAAGTCATACAATATGTACTTTGGGGGGAGGTATCTGGGTCTTTGACTTAGCATAATTTGAGATTAAGCCATGTTATTACAATTACTAATAGTTAATTCCTTTTTAGTGAGGAATAGTATTCCAATATGTGGATAGAGCAATTTGTTCATATCTATTGTTGGACATTTTTGCTTTTTCTTATTTTTGGCTATTACAAATTTAGTTATTATAAATACTGTTGTACCAGTCTTTGTATGGATATATGCATTCCTTTCTATTGGATAAATACCTACGTGTGGAATGGCTAGGTCTTGTGGTAAATGTAACTTTTAAAGAGTTTTGTTGAGAATTTTGGCATATGCTTATTTTTGTGTTCAATTATTTTGCCCATTTAAAAATTGGGATGTTGTTCTATTGTAGAGTTTTGGGAGTTCATTGTGTATTCTAGGTACATGTGCTTTATCAGAT